ATCCTCCACGGTGGAGAAGGTGGAGGACAAACAGGTCGGAAGGAGGACCGAGAGTGTGCAGGAGAGACGAACAGCTGCAATGGGCGCGGCTGGACAACGCGTGGACATAAAAACGTCACAACACCCGAACGAATATTGGGTTCAAGCTGTGGGTCAAATACAAGAATATTTCATCAAACAAGACCCGTCCAACATCTCCACATTTCCCCGCGGAGAGACCATCCGGCCTAACCTCTGGACCAAGAACGCCCGCGGCTCCCGCCCTCCGCACCTTGAGGTCGCTGACGTTGAGCTGCTGGGTCTTCTCCACCAGGTCCTCGGTGGCCAGGATGCTGCGCGCGTGCACGGCGTATTTCCGACCCTCCACCTCCGTCAGCAGCCGCTCCACACGGGACTGCAGGGACAGGGGGGGGGGGGCAGAGGTCAGGGGTCAGAGTTAAGAGGTCACGACTCCTCCATCTCTGTAAGCAGCCGCTCCACACGAGACTGCAGAGACAGGGGCAGGGTCACTCCCTCCCCTGCGCCAAAATGAGGAACCGCAGTCCACAAGGGTCAGCAGGCACAGGTCAGAAGTCAGAGGTCAGCTGGGCTTAGAGTTCAACGCACAAATTGAGTGACACGCCAGGACACCGGGCTGTTCAGGAACATAACGTAAAAATGCAAGGTCGCGCAGCAGCCGAGGGGCTGGAGTCGTTTACTTTCTCACAGTAATACAGTAACATGTCTCCCACTTGTTTCACGTCCTATACCACACCAGCACATGCCCTCCATTCAACCTCTGCCTATCTATCCTTCTTCCCCTTCAGTTACATACACAGCGACACCCACCCGACTCCTTTACATTCACACCAGACGTTTGCCTTGAGGTCGGACTGCAGCACGTTCTGGCAGTAGTGAGCAGTGTTAGTCTGTCCAGTCTATCCCTCCCTTCCTTCCGCCTCCCCACACCCAGCAGCCTAGGCGTACCTTGAGGTCAGGCTCCAGTTCCGACTGCAGCGAGTTCTGGCAGTAGTTCTCCACCCGCGAGTAGAGCGCCAGCGCCTCCGGCCACTTCTCGTGGCCCGCGTACGTCTCCGCCACGTAGAAACACCTGTCGACACGACATGGGGCACGTGGTGACGCAAGAACATGGGGTGCGATACACACTCAACAGTTTCATACACAGCCTTCACACTCAGACGTGACAACGGACGGCCTGAATGTTGAGTTGATGATGTTAGACTAATGGGGAATAAAAGAAGGCCGACTGTCCATAACTGAAGCCATTTCTGAGGGGATCAGCCTATTAATTCTAGGAAATTCAAGTTCAGCCTGGACATAATACGTGTGCTGCGTCCATGACTCTCCTCCAAACGTTGCGTTCCCAAGCTCACCTGAAGCCCTTGTAGGCGCTGATCTGGGCCTGCACGGAGCTGCGGATCTCGAGGTCTCCCTCGAGTCCGGCCAGCTGGGGGATTTCCTGCAGGTTCTGCAGTATGATCTCGTACAGGCGAATCACGTCCTGGATCCGCGCCCGACGGCCGTCCACTCCCTGACAGAGAGCGGAAAAGAACACTGACGTCACAGGCTGCACACAGGGCACGTGAAAGGTCGCAGGGCATGCGACAACCTAATTCACGTGTAAGTTGGAAACTGTGACATGAGCTTCCATTATTTTGCACTCCAGGCAAGATGATTCTATTCTGTCTCAAAATTATGTCCTCTCCATTCCTGGCTTCTCTCTGTGTCACATTGGGCTTTTCCTGCAGATCACTAGCGACATTGCAGTTCTCCTCTCTTCCCTATTCGGCACACCTTGGTCCTATCCCTTGCAGCGCACCTCAATTCCTCCCTTCCTCTCTCCTTCACCCCTCCCTCTCCCCGCCGTACCTTGGCCTTCTCCTTGCGCCTGGCCTCGGTGTTCTCGATGATGATGAGGTTTCGCTGCACGGTCGTGTTGAGCCGGATGAAGCTCAGGTAGGTCAGCAGGTAGTGCATGGGCCCGACTGGCGCGTCACCGCCCGGCTGGTACTGCTTGTACGCCTGCGGAGTACACAGGGTACGTCAGGTACGGTCACAGGCCGGGAGGGGCACTACGGGGAGTCAGTAGTAGTACGGGTACAGGAGCAACAATGCCCTGTATGTTGCTTCTGATTGAGTAACATTCCAATAATTCATTGTGGTTATCACATATGCGAGTTTTGTAGGGTTTAAGTCCGAAATAACCACGTATCCAAGCCGAATCGATTGCCGCTTAGGGAATACTCATGGGTCCCGCCCAAAAACTAACCGGGTCCTAGGTCCCCCATCCCCCGCTATAACTGACCGGGTCCTGCCTGAGCTCCTCCTTGACCACGTTGACGGCGTCCTTGCAGTCCATGAGCTGCGTCTCGTACAGGTCCAGCTTGTCCTCAGCCTGCTGGACGGCCGACTCGAACTCCTGGACGCTGAGCAGGAACGAACGGACCTGACGCAGCGGAAACAGAGACAGTGAGATACAGAGACACTGAGACGCTGAGCAGAAACGAACGGACTTGGAAACATACAGCGGAGGGTAAACTAACAGACTCAAACTCCTGGACGCTGAGCAGGAACGAACGCACCTGGAACAGCGGAAACAGAGACAGTGATGTACAGAGACAGAGACACTGAGCAGGAACGAACGGACCTGGAAATAAATAATAGACAACACTAAGACACTGGGCAGGAACGAATGCACCTGGAACAGCGGAAACAGAGACAGTGAGATACAGAGACAGACACTGAGCAGGAACGAACGGATCTGTAATATAGAACAGGGAATACGTCAGGAAAAGAATCGAGCTCCTGAATACTAAGCAGGTCGAAAGAACGGACCTGGGACCTCAACACTGAGACTGAGACACAGAGACAGTAACGACACTTAGCCAGTATCCCTACCTTTTCGTGTTGTACGCCGACGGTGCGTCCTCTCCAGGTGACCTCGCTGAGGGCCTCCGCCTGACGAGCTCGCGTCTCCGCAATCAGCGTCTGGAAACGGCACCAGACGCAGGGTGAGCGGGGTGAGAAACAAGATATGTGGGACTAGGAACAAAAAATGTAAATGCAGGAAATAGGAATGTATAAGAACGTTGATATCGAGACTCTCATGGTGGATGTAAAAGGGAAATTCAGTGGGTGCTAAAATTGAATCATGGTAAATACAGTAACAACCGTGAATCATTGCTAATCGGGAACACATTTAAGTCAACAAACATGCAAACATATTTAAGCCATTAAATCAACCCGGCAATGCATACCCAACTGTCATATGACAGCAGCAACAAGAATTGCTGCAAATTTCTAATTGCGTTACTGATTGGCACTGGTTCAGCAGAAGGGAGCCAGATACTATAACTTAGCGTACATCGAGCATGTCGTTGTGTCCGGGTCGCATCTTCATGATGTCTTCTCCGGCGGCCTTATCCCCGACACTGTAGGCGCAGAACCTGTCCGAACACAAACACAAAGCGTTATCTCTGACACTGTTATAGGCGCAGAACCTATCCGAAAACAAACACAAAACCTTATTCCCGACACTGTAACTAGGCGCAGAACCTGTCCGAGCACAAACCAACAGTCACCCAATACTGTCCTCTCACTGACTTATCTCCAACACTGCACCTGTCCGAAAACGACCTGACATAGCTGAGGGAGGACAACGTCCGTCCAAGAGATGACGAGCAGGGGGGCATACCTGGGAGAGGGAACACAATCCGGGGTGCTCCTCGGGAGGACAGCGTACATACCTGAGTGAGGGCACTGGATGCCCCAATGAGGACGAGGTAGGTATGCACGTACCTGAGTGAGGGTACCAGCTCCTCGGCTCGCGTCTTGTAGACGGCTGCCTCCTCCTCGTTCAGCGCCGATGCCAGCTTCTCGTAGATGGTCCTGGAGGCGCGGAACCGGTCAGGTCAGGTCAGGTCAGCGTGATGGGGGCACTGGCTGCAGGAGTAGTGACTGGCTCAGTCGTGTCTCGACCGTCATACTGCTTCATACACACCACGTCCTCATTCTAGCACCTGAGGTGTAGCATTTGTCCCATCGAACCTGATTTCATAATGGGTTGTGTCTCGTCCAATAATATCCTGTATTATATTAAATACTCTAATGTGTACCGTTTCTCTAACCCGGCCTAGGTGTAGTGCTAGATCGCCTCGTTCTGTGTGTTATGCAGTGTATTCTGAGTAGTGTTTCTCTCACCTGGCCAGGGTATAGTGTTCGATCGTCTCGTTCTGTGTGTTATGTAGTGCGTACTTAGTGTATTATTTCTCTAACCCGGCCTAGGTGTAATGCAAGATCGCCTCGGTCTGTGTGTTATGTAGTGCGTGCTAAGTGTATTGTTTCTCTCACCTAGCCTGGGTGTAGTGCTCGATGGCCTCGTGTATGTTCTATAGGTATAGTTTATTGTGTAATGTGTACTGACTAGTTTCTCTCACCTGGCCTGCGTGTAGTGCTCGATGGCCTCGTTCTGTGTGTTATGTAATGCGTACTGAGTATTGTTTCTCTCACCTGGCCTGCGTGTAGTGCTCGATGGCCTCGTTCTATGTGTTATGTAGTGTGTACTGAGTAGTGTTTCTCTCACCTGGCCTGGGTGTAGTGCTCGATGGCCTCGTGTATGTTCTATAGGTATAGTTTATTGTGTAATGTGTACTGACTAGTTTCTCTCACCTGGCCTGCGTGTAGTGCTCGATGGCCTCGTTCTGTGTGTTATGTAGTGTGCACTGAGTAGTGTTTCTCTCACCTGGCCTGGGTGTAGTGCTCGATGGCCTCGTTCTGTGTGTTATGTAGTGTGTACTGAGTAGTGTTTCTCTCACCTGGCCTGGGTGTAGTGCTCGATCGCCTCCCTCTGTAATGTGTACTGAGTTTCTCTCACCTGGCCTGTGTGTAGTGCTCGATGGCCTCGTTCCGTGTGTTATGCAGTGTGCACTGAGTAGTGTTTCTCTCACCTGGCCTGGGTGTAGTGCTCGATGGCCTCGTTCTGTGTGTTATGTAGTGTGCACTGAGTAGTGTTTCTCTCACCTGGCCTGGGTGTAGTGCTCGATGGCCTCGTTCTGTGTGTTATGTAGTGTGTACTGAGTAGTGTTTCTCTCACCTGGCCTGGGTGTAGTGCTCGATCGCCTCCCTCTGTAATGTGTACTGAGTTTCTCTCACCTGGCCTGTGTGTAGTGCTCGATGGCCTCGTTCCGTGTGTTATGCAGTGTGCACTGAGTAGTGTTTCTCTCACCTGGCCTGGGTGTAGTGCTCGATGGCCTCGTTCTGTGTGTTATGTAGTGTGCACTGAGTAGTGTTTCTCTCACCTGGCCTGGGTGTAGTGCTCGATGGCCTCGTTCTGTGTGTTATGTAGTGTGTACTGAGTAGTGTTTCTCTCACCTGGCCTGGGTGTAGTGCTCGATCGCCTCCCTCTGTAATGTGTACTGAGTTTCTCTCACCTGGCCTGTGTGTAGTGCTCGATGGCCTCGTTCCGTGTGTTATGCAGTGTGCACTGAGTAGTGTTTCTCTCACCTGGCCTGGGTGTAGTGCTCGATCGCCTCCCTCTGTAATGTGTACTGAGTTTCTCTCACCTGGCCTGTGTGTAGTGCTCGATGGCCTCGTTCCGTGTGTTATGCAGTGTGCACTGAGTAGTGTTTCTCTCACCTGGCCTGGGTGTAGTGCTCGATGGCCTCGTGTATGTTCTATAGGTATAGTTTATTGTGTAATGTGTACTGACTAGTTTCTCTCACCTGGCCTGGGTGTAGTGTTCGATCGTCTCGTTCTGTGTGTTATGTAGTGTGTGTGTACTGAGTATTGTTTCTCTCACCTAGCCTGGGTGTAGTGCTCGATGGCCTCGTGTATGTTCTATAGGTAGGTATAGTTTATTGTGTAATGTGTATTGACTAGTTCCTCTCACCTGGCCTGGGTGTAGTGCTCGATGGCCTCGTTCCGTGTGTTATGCAGTGTGCACTGAGTAGTGTTTCTCTCACCTGGCCTGGGTGTAGTGCTCGATGGCCTCGTGTATGTTCTATAGGTATAGTTTATTGTGTAATGTGTACTGACTAGTTTCTCTCACCTGGCCTGGGTGTAGTGTTCGATCGTCTCGTTCTGTGTGTTATGTAGTGTGTGTGTACTGAGTATTGTTTCTCTCACCTAGCCTGGGTGTAGTGCTCGATGGCCTCGTGTATGTTCTATAGGTAGGTATAGTTTATTGTGTAATGTGTATTGACTAGTTCCTCTCACCTGGCCTGGGTGTAGTGCTCGATGGCCTCGTTCCAGCGGCGCAGCTCGAAGGCCAGCGTGCCGCGGATGTCTGCCGCGTACGCCTGTACCTCCAGCTTGGTGCGGGCGTCACAGCGCGCCGACTGACGGAGAGAGGGGAGGTCAGAGGTCAGCAGAGGTCACAGGACATCACAACGTGGACTGATTGTGAGAGGTCAGAGGTTAGTAGAGGTCACAGGACGTCAAAGCGCGCGGACTGACGGAGGGAGAATGAAGGGGAGGTCAGAGGTCAGCTGGGCCTCACAGGTCACAAGTGGAGTTACAGAAAAGGTCTCGGACGGGGTAACCGATTAGGGGGGAGGGGGGTTGGCGCTGAAAACACAACACAAAACACGACTCATTTCGATAGAGTAAGATTGAAATTGACGTTTTTTTTGACATGTTCCTCTGAACACTGCTATAATAGTGCAAAGCCATCTTTTTTAATTGCAAGGCATTATAAATCTTCACGACCGAGCAGGGCATTTTACGACCCGGCGCATCCCTCTACCCCTACCCAGCGCCCACCCTCCCCCATCCTCCACATCCCTCCCAGGTCGCCGCGCTCACCTCGTCGGTGAGTTTCTGGAAGAGCTCGACCTGCTGCGCGGCCTTGCGCAGCCGTGAGGCCAGGTGGTACTTTTTGCGGTGCTCCGTGTTGGCCTCCTGTTTAAGCTGCATGGCGTAACTCCAGGCGCGCTCCACAGTCATCAGCGGAATGTACAGGTACCTGGGGGGGGGAGGACGGTCAGCAGCGGAATGTACAGGCACCTGGGGGGGGGGGGGGGGGGGAGGGGGAGGTACCATCACCAGAGGAATGTACAGGTACCTGGGAGATGGAGATGGGGTACAGTAATTGTACCTACACTTGTACAGATACCTGACCTGGGGGTACAGGGTACGGTCAGCAGGGGAATGTGCAGGTACCTGAGAGATATCGGTCACCTGAAAAAAAAAACATCTAGACATAGAGAAGGGGCCCGATCGGCGCAATCGGAGAGGGAGCAAATACTGGGGGCACGTCCAGCGCAGAGATGAAGAGTCTCGCTACGCATATTGTAGGGTTGAATTTATGGGCGCATTCTGTATATCAAAATTATCAGACGCATATTATAGATTAGAGCACTTCAGTTTGAAATAAAAATGTGAAAAAGAGTAAAGAAAAAATGATGAAAATAAAGAGTCAGCTCGGCGGGTATTTGAATGTTGTAACTTGTAACAGACTTCAGGGGACGGTCAGTTCCGACAACCTGCGCACACTAACTCCAATATCAACCGGCGAGCCACCAGTAGCTCTCGGGCAGTTCCCGTCGCCGCTACGGTCACAACGGCACTCACTTCTCGTCCTTGAGCACGTCCTCGGTGACATCCTTGCGTCGGAAGTTCTTCTTGTTGCCCTGCACAAAGTGGAGGTACTTCCTCAGCCGGCGGATCCGGCGGCTGCAGTAGCTCCTGGTGGCAGAACAGCCGTTCACCGTCAGCGGAACGAACGGGTGTCATGTATGTACAGATTAGTGATGTCAATTACGGAAAATCGGAATACCGATACCAAACCAAATACCAGCCAAAACCACGGGAAAATAGCGAAACCAAACCAACTTGGGAAAATGAGGGAAATACCAACTTTTTACCGATTTCTTAGTCTCTTATACATTAGTGAGGGTTCATGATACCAACAAAATACCAAACACGTTACGATTGAAATACCAAATACCAAGTTGGTATCGGTTTGGTATCGGTATACCAAAAAGTTGGTATCCGATTGACATCTCTAGTACAGATGTCTTACATATTTAGAATAGGAACTGGAGGTTAAATAGCAACTCGTTTGATTTCAATGGAAGTGAGAGTGGAAAAAGCAAAAAACAAAACAAACAGTGCACCCATCAAAATGACTAGGCTGAATAGCAAAGAGATCATATGCTTCAGCCAGTATCGGAGGCAAATTCCTTTTGTGTGTTTTGACGAAATGAGTAGTGAGTACCTAGTGATTCCAATGCAATATGTTTGCAATAAGCAGTAGGCTAAGCCTAAACAAAATGATTCATCTTGCAGAAAACATTTTATTAAGACAATTTAAAATGAAACGTATGTTCAAAAGGTGAAAAACGATTATCAGTTTGTACACAACTTCCGAAGTGAAATTACTTGATTTTTGTTGAAATTACTTGATTTGTTGACTGTGATAATAAAAATATTGAACAAAAATAATTAAACTGCGCCCGGGTGACGGTCTCAGCCAACTTCGCCGTGGTGGTGGGTGGGATGGGGGGGGCATGTTTGGCCACGTCAGGTTGTCTCGGAGACTAGGAAAGCTAGAAAGACGCGGGAAAAAAGCAATAGATGGCTCGCTATAAGATCTTTCAGAATTATTAAGGTCGTTGTTGATCAGGTCATCAGAGGTCACTGGAGGTCACCGAGAAAAAAATTATCACGAAAAAATCCCCCCGATTTATACATTGTTTATACCAATTGGCGCCTAAGTCAGGAGCGAAAAACACTAGTACCACGGAAAGGCGCATTCGATAGCTCTTTCTAAGTAATAAAGGTGATGCTCTCAGATTTGACCTAGGGCCAATGGTTTAGCCTCCAGAGGGCAAAAACTTTCGAAATTTGATGTTTAAGTGGAACACGTTTTCCTGCAATAACCTTTGATACCAAACTTGAACCTTGTATTACATTGATTTTGCCGGCATCGTGTTTCTCTCGTTGAGACGCGTCAAACACCCTATAAGTTGACCTGAAAGAGTCAACCAACAACTTCAAAATCTGACCTCAGATCAAGATCACAAAAATCATATCAGCCGATTCATAACATTGAGCTGAACACATATCAGGTGTCTTCATTGTTTTATACCTCTACTTTAAGTTATCGTAAAAACAAAACTGTTGGAGACCTTTTATGACTTGAGGTGACCTTAGGGACATAAAGAGAGGCAACATGTGCAATTTTCCAATTCAGTGTACCATGTTCATCTGTATCCCAATGTTGGTGACTTGTGAGTGTTCAGAATGACTTTCGTCCAAGAAAAGGCGGTTCAATTTTCTCCCAATGGAGGTCACAAAATTGACCTGACCATAGGCCACTAATATATCAAAATTCTGGGATAAACAAATTGTTGATAATGAATTCCTAATGCAATAACTCAAGTTTCAAACTTCTTGAAGATAAACTGAAGGAATGACAGAATCACATTTTTTAGGCATGGTCACTGAACTTGACCCAGTGACCTGGCCTTAAGTGACCTAGGGTCAAAAGTACATATTTAGCATATGGTGATAAATTGAGGCATAAGAACAGGTCAGTGTGGCCAAAATTGACCCCCCTCCCCCTCCCACAAACACACACATTAGCAAAGGTCACCTTCAGCCCCAAATGATTTGGTCATGATAATGTTCTGTTCATATTCATGATGCATATTCATTTGAACAGAGTTTCACAGGTTGTTAGAAATATTGTGCTTTAAAGAAGAAAAAAATATTTGGCCTTATGCCTTGAGGTAACATGACATTTCATAAATAGTGCCTTTTTAAGTCCAAGCTACAAACTGTACTCAATTCAAAAGAAGTATTGAAAGAGGAAGATTCCTTTCAAATCACTTTGAGTGTAAGTGGGCACTACTAGTGCTGTCTCTATATAGCCAATCTGATACATTCTACAATATCTGTCCAGGAATGCAGAGAATTAGATGCAAGACAAGAAGAAAATTGTTTATTGTTTATTGTTTATTGTCACAATATCTGACCAATCCTCAAGTTGATCCTATTCTAGGTCTTCGTCATACAAGCATTGATAAACAAATAAGACGTGTAAAACGTGATCAAAAGATCCAAAAGTGGACACGTACATATAGACAGTACATACATATAGTACGTACATATACAAAAGATAAATGAATGAGAAATTTGCCAGTTATAGAAGAACCACAAAAAACTCTACTAAAAACAATTAGTGGTTGATTTGAATCTGCATTGACTGGTTTATGATTTCTATCAAATATATTAACCCTCTAGTGCCCCCGGTATCATATCTGTAAGTCAATTTGCAGAAAATTCGCCTGCTAATCATAGAGGTGAAAATTGTTGAAAACCCTGCTGTATCAAAAGTGGTACGTCTTGGCAACCACCTGGTGGCAAAATTTTTAAGTAATGATTTCTCAGTTTCCCACCAGGTGATTTTGAAGAGGGTCAGTTTGTCCTTTGCCGAAAATCAAATTGAGATGCAAGTGTAAATTTAAGCATTTTGAAAACAAAAAATTAGTTATTTGGAAAGAAACTTGGTATACTGTGAGACAAATGTTCAACATGTATCATAGTATGTTGCAAAACATCGCAACTTTTTCAGGGTCAAAGATATGGACCCCTATTTTTGGGGATACTAGATATGATACAGTGGGCATAGCACTCCAATATTTTCTATGAAATTTTTGCCGCTGCAACATACGGTGTGCCAATACCATAGTATTCTCAGGTGATAAGCATTGTAATGGCCTGTGAGTCATTGCAAATGACGATGGTACCTACAAGATGCATAAATTTGTGAAGTTCGCACATCTTGCGCCAGATAACTCTATTTCGCTCCAGACTTAAAATGTCATAACGATATTGGTACGCTTATGCCGCCTCTCATCCTTGTCAATCTTCCAACATCTAGCTTTCCATGAGTGGCCTTACATGCCTCATACATTTCGACTTTTCTAACGCTCATAGGAATATGGTTTTGCAACTGTTTGACGATGACAATAGTGAACTTTTTGATCTGCAGGACACTAGCAGACCATATCTTCTAAAACCACGTTAGGAATGACATGCTATCGATGACAAGCTTGTTGATTTCAAGGAACGATCATCCGTGCGAGCATTTACAAGAGACCGCGTGAAACTGTATACTCGTGAAACCAAAAATTGAGACTTGATGTTAGGGACAGGAGGATTCAGCGGTCTCTTGCACAATTTCGATATTCCAACAGGGGTTGTGGACGGGCTTATTTATGTCTTGTGGGTCTATGTGTTAGCTGGGCATGGCTGAAGACTTGCATTAGCAGCCAGCCAGCATTTTTCATTCATATTGGAGAACGACTCACAATTTGTTTGCGATTCAAATCTCCTCCGTTCATCCCAGTAGTAAGAGATTGAATGTGGAGTGGAAAACTATATCGTCATCTTCAGAGGAAGCTGGCTAAACGGGCTCGCCATGAAGACAGACTCCGGACCGAAGGCCGTGGTTCCTTTGATTTCCTATCTAAGAAGTAGGCAACCATGCACTGCTGCCAGGTTCCAGTAGGTGCCTGACACCTGGCAAGCATTTTCACTGCCAGGTATGTCATTTGTTGTCATATATTGACATAGACCGCCAACTGTGGTAGCTGAGTGCCACTGAACAAAAAGGATTTACAGGTACTAAAACATGGATACTACTTTTGTACTGACCACAAGAATAAAAGTTAAAGTGCGGCATTGCGTAATGCGTATGCTCACCTCCATATGAGGTCAATGAATATTGTGCAAGTTCCTGCCGATCGGTGCACAGTTACCTGTACCTTTGTTGTCTGACACGTACAACGGTTATTGCACTGGCCAGTGCGCGGCTGTTATACTGGCGCCGATGACATCAGGACCGCACGACCAGTCAAAGTACTAACTGACGATTCACAGGCTGAGAGTTTCAGTCACCCGAGATTGTCCGGCTATCATGAAGATAAACCAACATCGTCTTTGGCATTGATTCCGGTCCGTCGACAGGCTGTCCAGCATTTTGCATCAGAACTGCTTCACTTCAACCACTTACCACGAGCCAACTGTAATGTCTTCATTTCTATATCAAGTATGCATAACGCATCTACGTTTGAGAAGCACGGCCCAAATGTCTGAATTATGAAAAAATTGCACAAGTGCAACGCGCTCTATCGTGGAAATTGAAGGAATAGAAGGCACTCGCAAATAGATGCCTATGATTAGCGTTGTTCCCTAAGCACCGACTGAAAGGACATTTTGATACAAGAAGGATGCCGATGAAATATTAAGAAAATGTTCTGATAAAAAGTGAACAGTAAAGGATGTCTTGTTGGCATTTTACACATTTTAACTGCCACTTTTATCACTGCAATTTTTAATAATATATATTTTCTCATCTATGTCTTCACTTCCTTCTGTTTGGTCTGATACCACTAAAAATTACCAAGTGGAATGCCCAATGTATCATATTTGATACAAAATTTATTTCCGAAATTTGAACTGCGAAAAAATATTTGACTCCAGATTTCGAACAAGGGACCCAAAATGAATCATATGTCACAAGGTGCTAATTTTAGGAACCGTGGAACTATGTGTGGGCATTAGAGGGTTAATCTACCGCCTACCCAGGCGATGATTGAGGGGAGGCCGGTCAGCCACCAACCTGTAGCGCTGGTAGTCACCATGGCGTAGCCCATGCTTGGCCTGGGCCTCCTTGATGACCTTAAGAACTGAAAATATAACACAGATCAGCACACGTCCTTCACTGATCCAGCGCCAGCTGGAGACCTTTCCCTGACGTCTCAGATAATCCCAAAAAAATTGACTTATGTTACACAATTCTTAAGTGCTTAGCAATGAAATCGTTTGTCTGTTGTTACATTTGCATTTAAACAATGATAAAAGGGGAAATATTTGAAAAAAACATGGCAATTATTAGGAATAAATGCATGTTGCGCCGAAAATCACGCACATGCGACAAACATGACCCACCTTTCAACGTGAAAACCTGAGGTTCTTCAGTCTTCACCTCCTCTTCATCACTTTCCTCAAGATCTTCGGCATCTTCAACTTGCATAGGTTCCTCTTCTACACCCATATTTTCTTTATTAGCTTATTGCGAATACACCGACGTGGATACACAACACGAAACAATATGGTCGAATTTTTCAGGTTTGTCTTTTTAGACGATTTAGCTCATTATGAATGGCAGTGGTGACGTCATCAGAACTCGCAAGTTTTACGGGTTTTACGTAGGTACTTACGATAAATTTACGCAGGGAAGTATGAGGAAAGGTTTTCGGAAATTCCGTGAGTTGCTTTAAGTCCTTGCTCCTGATCCTCCGGGATTTTTATTCACTTTTAAGATTTTTTTTTAATCAAGGGCTGTTCAAGCAAAAATCAAAACGGTTCATAACACATGAGCCCTAGCCTACCCATTTCCTCCTTCACGGGGCACGGCTGCCTCTCAGCGATGGTCCGCATCTAGAGAGGTCACCCGGTGTTCCGGCCGCGGCTTCTTCAGGAGCACCATCTGCGCCAGCCGCTGCAGCGCGGCCGCAGTATCGACTGAAGAGGCTCTGCTCAGGCGACGGATAGACGACGCTCTGCTCAGACGGCGGTCCTCCAATGTCCCGTCCTCTCTCCAGCACGTGACCGGAGGCCGCTCTACGAGCCTCGTGCTGAGCTCGCTGCCACTGACGTAAAGTTCGGGGCATCTTGCTGAAGCTCTTCCTGAAGTATCTTGTGACATGTGCCCTGAAGACTCATGGATGTCCTGACCGGTGGATATGATTTGTTTAGCCGCAACTCCCTGCGGCATCGACATCTGCCGTCTCAGCGTCAGCCTCTGAGCCTTTAATCCGTGCTTCCCGGCCTCTCCATGGATAGACGGCAGCTGAGCCTCTGACGTCACCAGGGGCGCTGTGGCCCTCAGAGAGCCGGTCGACCTGCGGCAGAAGTGTTTGAGAACGGTCGCCACCCAGCGGCTGCGGAGTGACGTGGAGCGGCCCGGGTCCGCTGCGGGAGCCGCAGCTCTGCCGGCGTGGCGAGGGGAGTCTCCATCGGCACTCCACTGATCGGGAAATATCACCGATATCTCCGTATCGCGGGACCTCAACGGAGGGAGCACAGTCTTCGTCACGACCTTCTTGTGTTTATCCTTTCTTGCTGAGCACTTCGACTTTGGCAGCTGTTCTGAACGGCCTCCTGGTCTTGGTCTGGACGTTTGCTTCGGATGGTTGCTTTGAATAAGACCTGACGTCGTCACCTGCTTGTCTCGAGCGATTTTGCCGTGGTGTGTGTCGTTCAGTGAGTCTGTTGACCTGCCATCAGCATGGAGTGACATCTCCCTTGACGTTGCTTCAGCAGATCCATCCACACTTTCAGTCGCTCCTTCACCGACCCTGCTGTCCTGCTCCCTGTCCTCTGCGGCCCTGTCCCGCTGCAGTTCTCCTGCCTCGCTCTGCAGCTGCGCCCGCAGTCTCCGCACCATCAGAGCCGCTCCGGCGAGCACCACGGCTGCCGGCAGCGCGGCCGCCGCTCTGGTCACCATCCTCAGCAGGGCGCCGCCGGCGGCACACCTCCAGAGCGCCCAGACGAGCAGGGCGGCCGGAGCTGCCACCAGCTGCGCGCCGGCCGCCCAGCTCCAGACCAGCAGCAGCCGGCAGCTGGCGCGCGCCACGGCCACCACCAGCAGCAGCTGCTGCGCCACGTTCAGCGCGCTGAGCAGCAGGCCGGCCGTCAGCAGCGGCTCGGCAGACGTGTAGAACAGCTGGTAGGCGCAGCCGATCAGCGCCAGGCAGGAGGCGGTCAGCAGCAGCAGACTGGCCACCTGGCAGCCGGCCAGCAGCGCGGAGCCGGGCCGGGCGGCGCCGGACGAGCGGCGCCGGGGGAGGAGGGAGGAGGACAGCGAGGACAGCGAGGACATGCGCCGCGAGGACGGCAGGGAGGTGGGAGCGATGGCGGAGGAACAGGAGGATCGAACCAATGACGCCACGTTTCCCGCGGCATCGGACCGTGTGATTGGCTGATCGGACATTGTTTGCGAGCGGAATCAATCAATAAACCTCAGAACATCTTCCCCGGGATGTGACCAGTGAATCGCTCCGTCCCAGTCGAGATCATCGACGACTTGGGCTTTGCATGCCATCAGATCGGTATCGTAATTATTGAAGTCTCAACATACACGTCACATACTTGCTTAGTGCATCTTCGGCAGGCATAGAAGTTCCTTGGCCTTAGAATCCAATGAAGATGTGACCAGCGTTCATTTTCCACCTGCCGTCCGATCCCGTTCCTGCAATGCTGTCTTATTTCGAAACTGTTGTTAGACGACGGACACCTTGGACACGCCTGTCTCCGATCGGTCTCACTCTCTGCTGGTGTCCGTCTGAGGAACTGCCGGTAACCGCGGACCACCTGTCCAGGACGGCTGCTGTCCCCCCACTGACAGACCCGCGGGCCCATCGGGCACACACCCTCCCACGTCGTCCACTCGCACTGGGTCAGGGTCAGTGCAGATTGAACAGGAGGATCCCCGCACACACGTGCCGGCCAAACTGCCCATAGTTCACCGGTCAGACGGTGACGAACTTCCGGCGGAACGAAGCAGAACGGCGCGGCGCGGCGCCGAAATAGGTACCGGACCAATCTAAAACGGACCAGGCGCTCAAGGACGACATATCATTTGGATCAATGATCTACGAGGCGAGCGAAACGTGGCGTATTCTTTTGATTTATATAATATTTCGCGATGTTAGCCTGTCCCCTGAAAATGACCGTAAATTTCGTACCATAAATTGAAATTGAAGAAATCTGTAGCTTCAACCACCTTCCTACAGCGCATGCAGATATTGTCACAAGTCAATGCAATGAAATCATGGGCGTCACTTTATTGTATGGTCCTATTGGTTGATTTGATTTTAGCTACGTGTATTGGTAGTCCACTGATGCAAAGAAATTGGATCTGGCTTTAAAACTAAGCTCTTGAGAGCGTTTGCCGTAATTCAATATTTTGCATCAAAATTGGCCGACATGACGTCACTCTGACATCATTTTCGGCCAAACTATTGTAGCTAGAAAGTTCAAATTTCAACACAAGGTGTAAAATTGATGCCGCTGAGGGTCTTGAAAGTTTCGTCCGTGAAACGGTTTAGAATATATTGCCGAAAAACGGGAGGGGGCTCTGTAGAGCCCCTACCCCCAGTCATGCGCGGGTTAACACCCACGAACGTTTTATGGTCTATTACTTTAACTACTGCATTAACGGCTAAAAAGACAAAAACGAAAAGATCATCATACGAGGCTTAGGCAGTTTTATTACTCAAATTTTCATTTGAATTAATATCCGGTCAGTTTTTTTTTTGTGTGACAAAGTTCGCGCCATGAACCTGCTAACGCTGGCTCCCTCTGCATGGCGCTTTCACTCGTTTGAGTAAAATTAATGCCATGTATACTAATTACTAATGAATTCAAGTCGCATCATAAAAATGATTAGGCCTGCTTCACTTCAAAAGAGGTCACTGAAATAATGCAAAATAATGTGTAACAATAATCAGCCGGCTGTGCGTGTCTAATAAAACAGGCACCTGGACTAGCGGTCGCATTAATGCCGTGACGGGATCGATTCCGGACCGATACCGGTCGGTGGGAGCGAGCACAGACCACACAATAATAGTACAATTCCGGATACGATGGCGGCGATACCGGCGCGCCGGTCTTTTTTAACGAGCTTCGTGCCCTAATGACCCAATCGGGAGCGTATCATAGTCACGCCATTCCGATATTAAAAACCTCGCAGGGAACGGTAGAAAGAGAGAGAGAGAGAGAGAGAGAGAGAGAGAGAGAGAGAGAGAGAGAGAGAGAGAGAGAGAGAGAGAGAGAGAAAGAGAGAGAGAGAGAGAGAGAGAGAGAGAGAGAGAGAGAGAGAGAGAGAGAGAGAGAGAGAGAGAGAGAGAGAGAGAGAGAGAGAGAAATAAAGAGAGGAGGAAAAGGAGAGGAAGAGGTTATGGATGGTTATTATTAGATGGTTATGGTTTCAGGTACAATAATTTGGTCATTAACCCGCGACCGCCTGGGGGGGGGGGTCGGATCCGACCCCCCCCCCCTCCGTTTTTTTTAATAAATCATGAACCGCTTACGCTATCTACTTGAAACTTGGCATACCTTCTCCCCCATCAATTTGACGTCTCCTGTGCAATTTTTAAGAAAATTTTCCAAATATTTTTTAGTTATATCGATTTTAGTGATGTAACTACACGGCGTTTTCAGTCAAAAAATGGCAAATGTTTAAAAAATCGCCAAAAATCGAGGTTTTAAGCAAATTGCAAATTAAGGACATGAATAGACGCAGAACAACGAGTTCTTTAAAATGGCTATCTCAGATTATCCATAAAATGCGTTTTTTACTCCTAAAAATTCAAAAACCAAATTTTTTGGAAAACAGCTAATAAAATCCAAAATTTTGGGAATTTCCAAAAAACCGGAATGAATGTTATAGAGCTCTATCAGAACATTAGATGTCCCAAATTTCAACTTTCTATCTTGATTTTGACCCCCAAATTGTAAAAAATAGCTCCAACATGCATAGGGCATGGTGACGTCATAAGCATTTTCGTGAATTAGAGGCACTTCTGAACATCGCATGTGAAAATAAATGGCACCACTAGATTCCTGGGACAAAGCTCGTCTAGGAAAGTGCATTTTTATGTCAAAAATAAAAAGTTGAAAAATTGATTTTTTTCTTGGCCCTTGTTTAGTTATGTATGGTATAAACGATTTTTTATGCTTTCAATGCACACTTATCACCAGAACAGTGACTTGGGGTCACATATAACCATTACCATCGGATTCGGCGTGAAAAATAAGCCATAAAACATGTGTCGCACGTCCATGTCGCAGAAAGTGAAAACCGTGACCTTTCGTGACCTGACCTGACCTTGACCCGTACTTTTTATGACCCCTATACGCACATGCTACCTTCACTAGGCCTTTGAGGTCATTTTTGGTGAGTTTCGAGCAGCAGCTATCGATTCCGCTGTCCGTAAGCCTAATCATGCAAACCCCTGAATTTGACCTTTGACCTGACCTTGACCCGAAAGTTGACCTCAATCTTAAAATCTTAAGAGTGCTTTGGGAAGGTCTCGTAGAGACCTTTCGAACGCTGCCTCGCGGGGCTCGATATGACCATTGGTTCTCGAGATAACAGGGGGGGGGGTCGGATCCGACCCCCCCCCCCCCAGGCTGTCGTGGGTACGGAAATAGCCCAGGCGGTGCCGGGTTAAGGAAGTTAAACGGTCCCTATTGCATTGCCGTCGGTCCTGTCAATAAGCATTGATTTTTTGTTGTACCATTCATCTTTATTTGATTTCTAATGTTTAATCAAAATTGTTCTCGTGCAATATGCGTCTAGAAAATGCGCATAGTCAAATTTTAGATGCAAGTTGCTATAATAAAAACTTTTAGAATATATTAACCCTCGCCGGCCGAGGGGGGGGGGGGCGGGTGCCGCCCCCCCCATAGGGTTTTTCGCGATAGCTCCGAACACGCTGGCGATAAAGAGCTGAAACTTGGCATACCTGACCTTTGATCCAAGCCGCATCTTTTGACACCAACCGCATTTTTGGGTCAGGTCAGGTCACTGACCTATGACGTCATAAGTGAACCTCTGCACGGTCTTCAGATGTCGCAACTTCGCAACGCCCTCACTGCCAGAGGAGATGTCACAGGGAAATGAAACTTGCAGGATCTAGTATCCATTATGAGTCTCACAACTTGTATATCTCGGATTTTTCCTAAAGGTCATATGAGGTCAGGTCATTTTCGTGACCTCACCATTATAAGTCAATGGGGAAAAATTCAAACTGCTATTCTGGCGCCGGGAACGATCTCCAACTATCTCAAGCACACAGAATCGTGATTTGATGCACTCCTTGCAAGGTTAGATGCGTCACTTTTGCAATGTTGACCTTGCGTGACGTCATTTATGACGTCATCAAGGTCATATTAGTTTTTCGTCAATAACTCTTGATCAAATTGAGCTAGCGAGTCGGGGAAGGCACCAATGGACTCAAGAAGGCCTGCCGAATCGAATGATATGCGACATGACCTCTTTCGACCAACTTCGTGACCTGGGGGTGCTGACCTGACCTTGACCTGAGGTCAACACCCCAAGTTGACCTGACCCGGACAAAAAGTATATCATTCGACGCGCCTGAGCGAGGCGAACACGATGCTGCCAAAATCGGCGCTCTGCGGCCGTTTTTTGCGAAGTTATTCACCAAAAACTGAACCGTGCCTTGGGGCACTTGACCTGACCTCAGAGGTCACCGGTTGACCTAGGACCTTAAAATCGGGTACCAATCTCTGCGTCTCGTAACGGCGCACACGCTCGTTTTTTCCGCGACGCGCTAGCTCCACCAGGGGCGAAACGGCGAGGGGGGTCGTACCCGCCCCCCCCCCTCGGCCGGCGCGTATGTAGAAAACCAATAGGTCCGGCGAGGGTTAAAGCAGGTAAATATATCTCACACGCCGTGCTGAGAGGGGTAAGGAGGCTTTTTAGCCACCATCGCCACCATCGCCACCATCAGGTTTTTTTCATCAAATATCTCAGTGTGTCAATTGTCATGCAGCACCCGTGAACTCCCCCTATGTTCGTGAGGTCGTCTCAGGTCATGAATGATCGCCAGCAGACAGCAGTTTTTTTACAATACATTTTGATAGATACGAGTACACATGTTTTAAGAGCGATGAAAACACCCAGATGTACTCAGCTCAACGATATGGCGCTCGACTGATAAGCAACATGACCTTTTCTGGTCAGCTCCTGAACTTGACCTGACGTTAAATTTTCCAAATGTTTTTTCAAGCTCAAATTATAGTTCAAATTTTAGCATGATATAATAATCATATGTTTCTCGACGAGGGGAATACGACGAAGCTGGTAAAAATAATGTCGAGATTTTTGTGTCAAAAATTATTGCAGGAAACATTTTTCGTAAAACAGCTGTGTTTCGAGCTTTTGCCCTCTAGCCCTCGCCGGCACAGGCCATTTTGAGTCCTTCGACGGCACAAGGGGGGGGGGTACGACCCCCCCTCGCGTTTGGCCCCTGATCGAGCTAGAGCTTCGCGGAAAAAACGAGCGTGTTGCCCGTCATGAGAGGAAGCCGATGATACCCAATTTTAAGGTCCTAGGTCATCGGGTGACCTTCCAGGTCAGGTCAATGACCCGAAAACCGGGAAAATCGGGACCTGTTAGCAAGTCGTAAAGTGTGGCTGCTATGTGGTTTTCCGGGGTGCTGATCACGCATATCGTGTTAGTTTTGATCAGAGATGATGTCTTTAAGCATTTAGACCAGGTCAGGTCAGGTCAGGTCAGTTCAACCGGTAGGGATTGTGACGGGTATTCGTAATACGTGTCAATCGCCTCAGACAGCTTCGTAACATGTTACGAAGGCACCAAAACTACTTCGTAAATGTTCAAATGGTTGCTAAATTCGAATTCAGCTCCAAAAACTAGCCTAGAAACATGTAAAACTCGAAAAAGTGAACCGAGGTCACCCGAGGTCACCAAAGGTCAATGACCTGACCTGACCTTCAGGTGACCTTAACACCCACCCTAATGCATGGGAGCAACATCAAATCACATGTTTGAACCTTTGAAACCACGAAAAGCTTGCAAACGCGCGGCTAATGCGAGCCGACGTGCGCCGAACCGCGATTTCGGCCAAACATGGTCACAGAAAAGAGGTCACAGGTCAAAGGTCATTGGGGTCAGGGTCCTGAAATTTTCAGGGAACGTGTAAAATTGATCAATGCGAAAGTACTGAAAGTTTCGTAGCGATCGGCCGCTTTTTACGCGAGTTATTCGCGAAAAACCTTAGGGGGGTTGCATCACCCCCCCCCTGTGCCGGCGAGGGCTAGAGACTAAGCCTCCAGAGGGCAATTTTAGGCTAAAATTGTGGACAAATTTCAGGAAAGCTCGTTAATAAAGCTATCGAATGCACTTTTCAACGGCTCTGTAGCTTTATTGGCTCTCGATTTATGCGCTAATTTGTCAAAGATTATTGACCTATGCAGAATTTGACCTTTGATGACCTCTGGCGACCTGACCCTTGACCTGCCCCAAAAAATGGCGGAGGTATTTTCTTCATTACCTATTGTGACGCTCTTTAGAATGCCGCTTACCGCGCGTCGCTATGTGCCGCGCAGAAAACACCCCAGCCCGGCGCGGGTTAGCGAAAAACCTCATGGGGAAGGGATGGACGTCGGACATACGAGGGACGGACGTCGGACATACGAGGGACGGTATGAGGTCATGTGGCCGTGTGACCTTAGTTGACTTTGATGAAAATAGGAAGTAAATTACGGCTACCTAATCCGCAAAGACTCGGCGACGCACTACTTTCTAAATTGCATCGCCTTGCCAGATATTTTCTGGCACTAAGACCTTTGAAATTCGCGACAACTTTGGGTCATGTAGGCCAGGGGCTCTTATATTTCGTCATAGGTCAGTGGAATGACATAAACTGAAAATATGACTGAAGACAAAAGCTCCAGCTTGAATCAAGCACTTATTCAAAATTTCAGCACTCTTTCTAGCAAGCTCTCGGAGCCATTTCAAAAAAAGGGTTTGGGTTGGCCCGAAATTCAGCCCCCTTTCACAGTTCGCTGCATCTTTTGTATGGTGCTTGGGAGAAGGCATTATTTCAAATACATATTTTTCTCCGATGTATTCTTGCAGCGGCTAATTTCACCATTCGCAGGTCAAACATAATCCGCTCATCGACACAAGATCTAATGGCATGACATCCCTGCCGCCCGCTGACTGCAGTGCTGCCCGCTCCCGCCGCGGCCGTCCGCCGTGTATACTCGTAGTAAGTAGCACTCCCGCGGTCAGATAGGTAATGGTGCCGCTTCCAGCAGCTCTCTGCCAGCTCACGGCGGCTCCGCCCCGGGGCATAGGTGGCGCCACGGTCGGCGGCCAGGTACGGCTGCAGCAGCGGTGACCCCGGCCGCGCTCCGCCACGCGCTCAGGTGAGCAGACGGCGCCGCCACGCGCTCAGGTGAGCAGACGGCGCGCGGTGGTACGGCAGGGGGTGGGGTGCTGCTGCGTCCGTCCACACAGCGCTGGGGTGTGAGTGGGACGACTGGGACGAGAGGACACCCAGCGGACCAGGATTTCAGAGAAGGTGAGTGAAAAGTGGGCCCGCCGGGACCGCAGCACGGCCAGACTTTCTCCCGGTTTTAGTCACCGGTCAGTCACTGTCCCGGTGGACGATCGTCACCGGTCACTGCAGGTCACCGGGGCCGGCACGTGCGCACGTGCTGCCGTCAGTGGCAGGTATTTCGGGAACATTGAGTTGGGGGGGGGAGGGGAGGGGCATTTGAACAAATGAAAATGGTGGGGAAAGCGTAATTAATATAGTTGAGTTCGCTTATGTGATTGGCCCCGATACAGTTTTTGCTTTCTGTTTGTTTAGGAACACCGTTTCGGCACCTACATAAAAACTAATCACAAAACATAAAAATATGACCTTTTTATGAAGCGATAGGCTTACCACATACCGTGTTTTGCTTCCTACTGTCTTATGCCAGCCTTCGAGGTGCGTTTGCGACCTTCAGCTTTACGACACGTGCCGACGGTCTCCCCGGCACCCGGTGTTTCTCCGTCCTTGGGTAACCTACCGCACCAGCCGGGCAAAGCGCAGCGTTATGATATAATGATGTAGCCACAAGTGTCCCATGGCCTGCGTGTCCCTTACCACGGCATTCAGTCGACCACACCGACCACATTGGGAGAGCGCCGGTCCTGTTCAGTGTACTGAGGGAATGGGGAGAGCGCCGGTCCTGTTCAGTGTACTGAGGTGCCGGGAATGGGGAGGGCGCCGGTCCTGTTCAGTGTACTGAGGTGCCGGGAATGGGGAGAGCGCCGGTCCTGTTCAGTGTACTGAGGGAATGGGGAGAGCGCCGGTCCTGTTCAGTGTACTGAGGTGCCGGGAATGGGGGAGAGCGCCGGTCCTGTTCAGCGTACTGAGGGAATGGGGAGAGCGCCGGTCCTGTTCAGTGTACTGAGGGAATGGGGAGAGCGCCGGTCCTGTTCAGTGTACTGAGGGAATGGTGAGAGCGCCGGTCCTGTTCAGTGTACTGAGGTGCCGGCAATGGGGAGAGCGCCGGTCCTGTTCAGTGTACTGAGGTGCCGGCAATGGGGAGAGCGCCGGTCCTGTTCAGCGTACTGAGGGAATGGGGAGAGCGCCGGTCCTGTTCAGTGTACTGAGGTGCCGGGAATGGGGAGAGCGCCGGTCCTGTTCAGCGTACTGAGGGAATGGGGAGAGCGCCGGTCCTGTTCAGCGTACTGAGGTGCCGGGAATGGGGAGAGCGCCGGTCCTGTTCAGCGTACTGAGGGAATGGGGAGAGCGCCGGTCCTGTTCAGCGTACTGAGGTGCCGGGAATGGGGAGAGCGCCGGTCCTGTTCAGTGTACTGAGGGAATGGGGAGAGTACCGGTCCTGTTCAGTGTACTGAGGGAATGGGGAGAGCGCCAGTCCCGTTCAGTGTACTGAGGGAATGGGGAGAGCGCCGGTCCTGCTCAGTGTACTGAGGTGCCGGATATGGGGCACACAGCTGGGTTGGCCCTGTGGAAACAGGCGTCGCGAGCTATTCTAACGAAAAGTGCATGCATATGTGTCTTGAGCCAAATGATGTCCTGACAAGCTTATAAGCAATTATTGAAGCACCGAGACCAGGCACCTCAAAGTTCCTAATGCCGAGGATTTCGGTTTCGGAAACATTAAGTCCAAGTGTTTTTATTGTTTGAACATATGTTGTGTACATTCATTTATACCTAATTGATTACGTACTTGTGATAGGTACTTCGTAATAGTTTGTCCTTTAAGTTTTTTAAATAAACAGCTGCCCACATCATTTAGAGTAAACAAATGAAAAAGTTTTGGTTTGTTGGTAGGCGTATCATCACCAGTGGGAATTGGAATCCCAGTGAAACAGCAAATAGCGGCCGATCCGGTACTGAGGTGCCGGGGGGGGGGGCTGCCTCAGTACTCAGTAGGTGTGAAGGGACATCGTGCGGTAACCGCCGTGATCCGCGCTGCTCGCGAGAACTGCTCGTCAGAAAAACACCGGCCCTGCAACGGTCCTCAGCCGACTGGTTTGGGTGACGTCATATTAGACATACACCGCCGGAGTGTGATGGTACCGCGGGACACCGGCCCTCTGCACACATACGGCTGGTAAAATTGGCGTACCTAGCTACACCACACAGCAATAAACATCTTCTCCGGAGCTTCTCCGCAACTTGCCGATTGACCTCAATCTGATTTAATGTCACTTAATGCTTCCACCTAACATTTTTTATCATTGTAGTAACCGTATTTATGTACTCGTACCGACATATTGTTCGTTCCACGTCTAAGCTCAATGCTGCACAAAGCTCAGATTACAGCCGGGTGGGTGTCATTAGCCCAGATTATTGTCTCTGTAAGATGAAAACACACGTCGATCACCAATTGCCGGCCGCGTCAGAGCACGCTTCCCTTATCCACTGGCATTCTCTTTAATTCCTCGTTCCAAAGTTTTAGCTACTCCACGCTGCTTGACATAGACACACAATGGATGCAATGCAATCGGATATACACTTGACATAACCTGCCGAACTCTTGCCATTTTCTGTACCGGTCGTTGACTTCCTAATAGTCATAAACACGTTCTAAGCGCTGCAGCTTTTCGTCAACTGGGTAGCAGTGAGGTCGGAATTACCGGGGTTACATGAGCGATCCGTTCCAAATACGCACTACGCTAATACGCATCAGCTCCCCACAAACGTATCTACGGCACCGGTTACATGAGACTAATTCGTTTTATCTACGTCAAACGGATCTTGTTTGGCTCACCCGGGCTGACTCCCCGACGGCCGGTAATTCGCATCACAAACGGAATAGGATTAGCGTACAGTCATGGCGCAGTTGCGGCATTTACCGGGACGACTGAACTAAATTTTCAATACTTTTATCATTTGATAGGCTCAAAAACATTTAAAATTAACATGAAATCAAAAAATGAAAACAAAGTTTTCTTGTTTTAAGTCAGTGGGCACTGATTCGCCATGCAGCGACAGCAGGGTGGTCAGAAAAATTATCTACCAAAATATTTCATTCATTTTATTTCACATGCAAAGACTAAACCAAAATGCCAACAATTTTTTTGCTATTTTCTTCGAGGCAGCCAATAAAAAATGCTTAGTATTTTGCATTTTGACGCTTCCAGTCAGCAAAGAATAGTTCTTGTCAAATACGGCCCGAATCGTGTGCCTCGGACGTTTCGGTTACATGAGCGATCCGTTCCAAATACGCACTACGCTAATTCGTATCAGCTCCCCAAGAACGCATTCAGTGCACCGACTACATGAGCAAATTCGTATCAGTGACGTCAAACGGATCTAGTTTGGCTCTCGGCCCGATGCGCATTATAAACGGAATAGCATACAAATGTGGCGCACTTCCGTAGCAATAGAGGTGACTAAATTAAAAATTTATTATCTTATGTCTTTTTTGCATTTAATCTGCTCAAAACATTCTCAATTAACTTAACAAAAAAAAAAGTTGAACATAAAATTGTCTTCCTTTGACTCATTGGGCAATTGCCTCTCTTGATTCGTCTGTAGTGCTGTCAGAAAAATGTTTCAACTGAAATAATGTGGATATTTACTATTTGGTTTTCACTATATTTATTGTTGAAAACTTGACAAAATACCAACATATTTTTTTAATATTATTTCAAAGGAAGAAAATGAAAAAAATACCTATTATTTTGCATTTTAATGTTTCTTTTTGCGAAGAAATAGTTCCTGTAATACGTATCTTGGTCCTATTCGCTTCTAAGCCTCTTTCCCAGCGGATTTTGTTCGGACCGCCGATTCGTATTAGCAGGTGGATACATGAGTCGGTAATACGCTCCTGATTCGCATTAGCGGTGAATCCGATCGTGATACGCATTTGCTTTGCTCATGTAACCGCGGATCGGATCGCCGATTCGTATTAGCAGGTGGCTACATGAGTCGGTAATGCGTTCCTAATTCGAATTAGCGGCTAAATACGTATTTACTGTGCTCATGTAACCCCGATAAATGACTGGCAGTTGTGCGCTGTTCAGGGGAAATCGTGTTAGCTGTCGTCTCGTCACTACATACACATAACGGCGGCTAGCACATTACGTGCGAGCTAATCGCCGGTCGCGATTTTGCCGAAAATGTCACGATGCAGAGTAATTTTTGCAAGCGATCTCGTAAACGCGTGAAGCAGTTCAGTGACAGATGAGGTTGCCGTCGAGTGAATGACTATTCAGGGAAGTTGTCTATGCTGGTGATAGGCGACATAAGGTTATAAAATTTGCAGCTGATGATGATGGTAGAGTCAAACTCGGCTCCACATCTGCCCGGCACCGTTGCTACCAAACTGACATAATACTGACGCTGCTCGGGTGCCCATTGGCAGTTGCAGAATCGCAGTGACATTCGCTCCCTTTTCTGTGCCTCAGTCTGTGTGCCGGTGGGGAGGGGAGGGCCGGGAGGGTCAAATTAGGCGCGCTCTTTTGTCACGCGCCGTGAGCTCAAGGTCACTTGCTCCGCCCCGTAACAATACAACATGGGATGAGCGAGTTCCGACTGTCATACTCTGTGCCGCGCGGCGGGGCTGTGTACTGTGCAGTGGGCGCACGGTCGAGGCCGCGCTGTTTTGTTAGCGTCATATAAATATGTGTCGTGATATGAAAATTGCTTCTTTCCGAGATGACGCTAAATCAAATTACATATTATCGTGAATTCAACTATAGCGGCGTTGAAAGGGATTATATTGTGCACTTTGCTTTTTATTAGAAAACAGCAACGACGTCTCTCGCTAACATTTATATATCTTCTAGCATACCAGCATTGCACGTTTCTATTTCATCAAATGCCAATGGCGTCTTTGCCGCCGGTAGGTATGTTCTGACACCGTATGCACACCATGCACCATTACACGGAGACCCGTCGTACGGTTTGGACTCGATGCACGGAGGATAAAGTGCTATTCTTGGCTACTGGCTTAGCAAGTGTAATGCCGATTCTGTCATTCGATGGCCTTTTTAGTTCTCTTGCGGTCGGCTATTTCGGTCACTCATTTACGAATTCGATCTTCCTCAGTAGCCTCTTTTGGCCATGACGACTGAGCAGGGTAATGTGGAACACCTTGACGTCTGGAATACCATTATTCAAAGAAACAATTTTCCGATATAATTTCACGAGTGCGGCTTTAGGTTTTAGCCCTTATTTACTTGGGACATTAGACAAATAACGCGTTATTTTTTTGCATCATGCTGCGGTCTGATTGTGCATTATATTATATGTATTACCTACATGATACTGGACAGCGTTCATATGTCGTTGAACGAGGCCAAAAAAGGTAGCTCTTGAATTTTTTTCACAAAGCGTCAATCACTATCACAGCTTGTAATCTAAACAAAAAATCAATAACAACGAAATTGCATATGTTTTTGCACTCTTCTGAACAATGATAGTAAGATTGTATGCTACAATCTAGTTGCCTGGTGGTGTCTGGTCGAAAGAACCTCAGAAGTTTGCTCCTGGCCGATCCCTGATACAGTCCCGTTGGCCATAACGTTCGGTCAGCCTCTGTCCTGCGACCTATGACAATCGTATGCAGATGGCTGCCGACCGGCTCGGCGCGGAGTCGCCCTTATGCAGAGCAGGGGTCACCGGGTGGGCAGTGGCCGCCGAGAGTCACTGGCCGCGGTGACGGACATGATACGACCTTATTAATTCAAGGTCAGATGATCAGCCAGCATGGCCGAGGTCAGGTCACACGGATGTTCAAGCAGTTTTTATTTTTACAATGGGACTAATGCAGGGATTGGTCGCATGCTTATTGCATGCCATCCATAAATATCAAAGTGACTATAGTATAGCCGTTATGGTGTTGCTGAGTGCTGACCCACATTGAAGCGTAATTTGTAGTTTCAAATTTTGCAATTCGATAACTGTGCGCACAAATCACAAGTAGTGTAAATCACTATGTAAAGTGAAGTCACTATGTAAATCACTATGTAAATCACTATGTAAAGTGAAGTTTTTTTTTAACACTTGCAGGCCAGTAATTGCCGTCGATTCTTGCAAGAGTTTTTATTAAGGACGACATAAAGCAATTACGAGTATTATGCCCCAAAACATAGGTCCAGAATTTTAAATTGACCTCACAATGTCAATTAAAGCTCAACACAAAACTGTAGCAAAGCTACAGCAATACTGTGTAGTCGAGTGAGTAAGCTGGAAATGTCGTGCGCAATTTAGGATGGAAAATTCCTGTTTTCTATATTTGCTTCACGAATTAATGCTCTTGTTTTTCTATAAAGGCAATTTATACTTGATGTAAGTTTTTTCCTCTTGCATGTTCCTTATCGCATTACCTCAGTGTCGTCAATAAAACCTATGGTGTCGGCACGATAAGGCTATCCAAGTTCTCATTAGTGTTGTTACTTTATATCTGAGCCGGATCGTCTCACCCACAGGCGCCACCTTATTTACGGTAGAGCCTTGACCGTGGCCGGTGGGTTTCTCATTGAGGACCGGTCATTTCTACAGGCTCGCCATACGGACCTCAGAGGCGTTATCATAATTGACAGGACAGCTCCGGTAGCTATGCGTGTTCAGCTCACCTTCCAACTCAATTGATGACTGGATCGCGTGAGGAACGTTTCACCGTCACAGATGACATCATCAGTGAGCCTGCTCGTGATTGGGTGAGCAGCGTGTGACGTCAGAAAGTGACGACATTGAACTGTTGCGACATCCACGCGCAGCGCCGGAGGTCTATTCCGATCGGGCTTCCTCAATCCTCTGAGTGAAGTGAAATGACATATCCGGTCTTATCCGCACCACTGCTGGCTTCCCGGCTGAACCGCTTAGCAGTGCGGATCCTCTGATTTTCATATGAACCACCTCCCCGAAATAGGTACGAGAAATACACGCATTACTCCAATCCGGTCTAGTTTCTACCATCACCATACTGAGCTGGCCTGAATGCAGCGACTTTCGGCCATCATCTGAACTCGGATGTAGCATATTCGATTCGCTTCAATACGTCACAGAGTGACTCAGTAATGCAGAGAAAGTGAACGAGAGGAAAGCTGGAATTCAGAGAACTGCACCTTATACATAAATCGCAGCAATACCTATCGGTTAGCCAGAATCAGTCAGCCTTTTTCTGTGTATTTAGCATCAATTCACAATAACTAGATAATTAAAAGTGAAATAACCAGTCGACTCAGCATCATAGACGTATAAAAGAAGGAACCTGATAATATTTAGATTCTGCTCTTCCGCTTCACGGTAGCCTTTCAAGTGAGGGCATCTGAAGCCAAATCAGCAGATAACCGGTTTTCACCGGTCGGCAGTGGCACTAGCTTTGAGTGCGGTCGGTCAAGCAGTTACCGAATTAGGGAACCCGGTCTATATCTTCACAGACACACGTGCAGGTCACCCCAAATCTGATAGCTGAAAATGCATTAGTTTGACCAGTGACCAGACCAAGAACGAAACTGCCGGACGATACAAATGAGATTATTTATGGAATTTATCCAGCATTACGACGCTGATGTTACAACGTTCGACGAACTGTTTAGGTGGTCGTTGTATTGTTGGTCGTTAAATTGTTGTAACGTGTACTATCGTTGGGCGCTTGTTGTGTGATAACCATCCCACTTCCTTGTCAGCGGGAGTCGGCAGTCCACGTTTACAGTTTACGGTGTTAGACGGTGACATGATATCGACTTTGACCTTTATCATAAAACCAATGGCTTCTACGGCTTTACAGCTTCTGAAACAGCTGCGATAGCACAGACCGCTGCTGCTCATGCATTTGCCTATCTGAAATACTTGAAATCGAGAAGTTAGTAATGATTGCCGCTCCATTTCTAAGCCAGGAAGTAATTAATCATTCAGGGGATTTCCACCCCCTCCCGATCAGACCGACGGTACTGTCTCTTCCAGCAGTCGCACCGCGCACGTTTTTGATATACGAAATCCGTCGATAAGGTGCTAAGATAAATACTTCTGCTCGGTAGCCTTTCATAGACGCCTGCGTCATAGCGTTGTTAATTCAGAAAATGCACAGAAAGCTGATGTTTTATCCCTTCAAACGGAAGTGTTTTTTTACGACAGCTATACGGTAGCTATCAGGCCGTCTCAGCGTGCTCCGGGTACTTTTCCACGGTGGCTGCGGGCATCCCGCGGCACCTGTTAGTGGTACAGGTAGAGTGGCCGCTGAATGGGCGCTGCACAGAGCGGTTTTGTTGGGAGATTTTCTTCAGGTGCTCCGAGTGGCGGCAAGCGGAGTGACGCAGCAGTTTTTAGGATGTTCCTATGAGGTGGCACATAATCACGTTGCGTTTTACGGGGATGGCAATGCCAGCGAAGTTTTGAGTTTGGTTTAGGCAAACATTGGTGAAGTTAACCTTGCCGCTGACTTGACAACCATACTCGTATGCTGCGTGCTGACGTCTGCAGGCTGATATGCAGCCTACGATTTGATCTGATTTACAGACATGTTTGCTGTTTGTTTGAACCAGTAATAGGCAACAAAAACTGTTTGGGCCGGCTTTCAGTCGAGTAACTATCCTGGCGTCGACCCTTTGGAATTGTTCGATGATCTCGGCATTTAATCAAAGTGGAGGGCTGTCGTACTGCTGTTCAACTTCCGCGTTGAATCCGTGGGAGCACCGCCAGTAATTGTTATGCATAATTTCGTCTGAAAGCGTTCAAAGGGTGGCCAAACTGACCATTCTTATTCATTTCCAGGTCACGTATGACGTAGTATCTGCTCACCAATCGTTACTGGCTGCATGTCACCGGAAGACATTACCTACCGTCAGCGAAGAACGAAGCCGGCTGTCATCAGCTGATAACTGACGTCACTCGGCGTCAGCTGACGTGACTTCTCACCTGTCATATCCCCATACACACATCATGTTCAACTGGGCCGGCCTGGCCGGTATTATCGTGTTTTATATTGCCATTCTGCTGGTCGGACTATGGGCGGCATGGAAGAGAAAGAATGAACTTCAAAATGCCGGTGAGTGATACATTCTTCTGTTTGTTTGCTTGTTCCGCCACGTTCTTTTTTTGACAATGAATGAATGAATGAATGAATGAATGAATGAATGAATGAATGAATGAATGAATGAATGAATGAATTGAATGAATGATTAAAAATAATAGAAAAAATATGTAAACGAACAAAGGTTCTCGCTATTACGAGTACTCTGACCAGTGACCACGTTTGTGTGTGTTTGTGGTTACCACGAACAAAACTTGCGGTGTTTCTCACCCCTCTGACCGTGTTTTCATTTTATGTGATGGTTGTTGCATCTTTTGGTTATGTTTGTGCGGTGATTGTAAACCCTGTGGCCATGTCTGCTTAATATTTGTCAGCTCCCTCACCATTTTATGCGGTGCTTGTTTGGTTTATGCGGTGTTTGTTTCATGTTTGTTGGTCTCAGAGGAGTACATAGAGGAGATAATGCTCGCCGGGAGAAACCTTGGTGTGTTTTCTGGGTATTTGTGACCGTGTTTGTTTGTTGTTTGTCTCAGAAGAGGACACAGGAGCAGGTGATGCTGGCTGGGAAAAACCTGGGCGTGTTTGTCTGTTGTTTGTTGTCAGAGGAGGACACGGAGGAGGTGATGCTGGCCGGGAGGAACCTGGGCGTGTTTGTGCGGTGTTTGTGTGGTGTTTGTGTGGTGTTTCTGCGGTGTTTTTGCGGTGTTTGTGCGGTGTTTGTGACCGTGTTTGTTGTTTGTTGTCAGAGGAGGACACGGAGGAGGTGATGCTGGCCGGGAGGAACCTGGGCGTGTTTGTTTGGTGTTTGTGACCGTGTTTGTCTGTTGTTTGTTGTCAGAGGAGGACACGGAGGAGGTAATGCTGGCCGGGAGGAACCTGGGCGTGTTTGTGCGGTGTTTGTGAGGTGTTTGTGTGATGTCTGTTTGTTGTTTGTTGTCAGAGGAGGACACGGAGGAGGTGATGCTGGCCGGGCGGAACCTGGGCGTGTTTGTGTGATGTATGTTTGTTGTCTGTCTCAGAGGAGGACACGGAGGAGGTGATGCTGGCCGGGAGGAACCTGGACGTGTTTGTGACCATGTTTGTCTGTTGTTTGTTGTCAGAGGAGGACACGGAGGAGGTGATGCTGGCCGGGAGGAACCTGCGCGTGTTTGTGTGGTGTTTGTGTGGTGTTTGTACGGTGTTTGTGCGGTGTTTGTTTGATGTCTGTTTGTTGTTTGTTGTCAGAGGAGGACACGGAGGAGGTGATGCTGGCCGGGAGGAACCTGGGCGTGTTTGTGATGTCTGTTTGTTGTTTGTTGTCAGAGGAGGACACGGAAGAGGTGATGCTGGCCGGGAGGAACCTGGGCGTGTTTGTGGATGTCTGTTTGTTGTTTGTTGTCAGAGGAGGACACGGAAGAGGTGATGCTGGCCGGGAGGAACCTGGGCGTGTTTGTGGATGTCTGTTTGTTGTTTGTTGTCAGAGGAGGACACGGAGGAGGTGATGCTGGCCGGGAGGAACCTGGGCGTGTTTGTGTGATGTTTGTTGTTTGTCTCAGAGGAGGACACGGAGGAGGTGATGCTGGCCGGGAGGAACCTGGGCGTGTTTGTGCGGTGTTTGTGCGGTGTTTGTGTGATGTATGTTTGTTGTTTGTTGTCAGAGGAGGACACGGAGGAGGTGATGCTGGCCGGGAGGAACCTGGGCGTGTTTGTGTGATGTTTGTGCGGTGTTTGTGTGATGTATGTTTGTTGTTTGTTGTCAGAGGAGGACACGGAGGAGGTGATGCTGGCCGGGAGGAACCTGGGCGTGTTTGTGTGATGTCTGTTTGTTGTTTGTTGTCAGAGGAGGACACGGAGGAGGTGATGCTGGCCGGGAGGAACCTGGGCGTGTTTGTGTGATGTCTGTTTGTTGTTTGTTGTCAGAGGAGGACACGGAGGAGGTGATGCTGGCCGGGAGGAACCTGGGCGTGTCTGTGTGATGTTTGTCTGATGTCTGTTTGTTGTCAGAGGAGGACACAGAGGAGGTGATGCTGGCCGGGAGGAACCTGGGCGTGTCTGTGTGATGTTTGTCTGATGTCTGTTTGTTGTCAGAGGAGGACACGGAGGAGGTGATGCTGGCCGGGAGGAACCTGGGCGTGTTTGTGTGATGTTTGTTGTTTGTCTCAGAGGAGGACACGGAGGAGGTGATGCTGGCCGGGAGGAACCTGGGCGTGTTTGTGTGATGTTTGTGCGGTGTTTGTGTGATGTATGTTTGTTGTTTGTTGTCAGAGGAGGACACGGAGGAGGTGATGCTGGCCGGGAGGAACCTGGGCGTGTTTGTGTGATGTCTGTTTGTTGTTTGTTGTCAGAGGAGGACACGGAGGAGGTGATGCTGGCCGGGAGGAACCTGGGCGTGTTTGTGTGATGTCTGTTTGTTGTTTGTTGTCAGAGGAGGACACAGAGGAGGTGATGCTGGCCGGGAGGAACCTGGGCGTGTCTGTGTGATGTTTGTCTGATGTCTGTTTGTTGTCAGAGGAGGACACGGAAGAGGTGATGCTGGCCGGGAGGAACCTGGGCGTGTTTGTCGGCATCCTGACGATGACTGCCACCTGGGTCGGAGGTGGATACATCAACGGCTCGGCCGAGGAGACGTACAAGGCCGGTCTGGTGTGGACACAGGCGCCGTTCGGGTACTCCATCAGCCTGGCGCTCGGTCAGTGACATGAGCGGGCGCGAAGTTAAATACACCGTAACGTAACGGAAGGAACAAACATAGTACCTAGCATTTTTCAGTTAATAATAAAAAATGGTATTTCAGATTATTGTATTTCTACTAAGAAATATACCAACTGTTGCAGCTCTCAGTAACATGACCGCTTCTTATCGAGCATAGGTCAAAAATACTTCACAATGTAGGTAATGCGTCACGATTCATTCGAGCCGCCTTTTACGGCGTTTTTTTTTTTCTGCACTAACTGACATCCTGTATTGCAGGCGGCATATTTTTCGCTCACAAGATGCGCGAGGAGGGCTACACGACGATGTTGGACCCGCTGCAGGCGCGACTGGGCCGCGTCATGGGCGGCCTGCTGTTCATCCCGGCGCTGCTCGGCGAGCTGTTCTGGTCGGCGGCCATCCTCGGGGCGCTCGGTTAGTCGGGGTCAGCACTCCGGGTCAGTCGGGGTCAGCACTCCGGGTCAGTCGGGGCACCTGGTCCCGGTCAGTATGGGTTACCTGCGCGGGTCAGTCGGGGTCAGCATCCCGGGTCAGTATGGGTCACCTGCGCGGGTCAGTCGGCGTCAGCACTCCTGGTCAGTCGGTACCTGGTCCGGGGCAGTATGGGTCACCTGCGCGGGTCAGTCGGGGTTACTTGTCCAGGGTCACATGATAGCACTGGTCACCGGTGGCGGTAACTGACGGGTTGTGGGCTGGGCGATACTTGATGATACATACTGGTCGTTTACCTATTGCAACAAAGTAAGTTAATAAGACCTTATGCTTCTAAGTGTACGCTGTGCAGCCTCCACTATAAGCCCAAATGAGCCATGCCGATTTTCTCTAAGTCAATATCACATTATACGATTTCAGGGACCACCATCAACGTGATTCTGCACCTGGACGAGTACGTGGACTACGGCAACACGCTCTCGATCGCGCTCTCCGCTGCCATCGCCGTGTTCTACACCCTGTTCGGAGGCCTGCTGTCGGTGGCCTACACTGACGTCATCCAGCTAATCTGCATCTTCATTGGACTGGTGAGTGGCGACAGCGGTTGGCGATATTGGGATGTGCATTGAAATGCTGATCGAAAATATTTAGCACCTACTTAATTAAAGTTCCGTTGTGTGTACAAGCGCAGATGATTTCCTATCAATTCAAGATTTGATGCTAGCTTTTGCCGAGTGTCTTCCCACTTTATTTTGCTCGTTTTCGTGTAGTTAGTTAACCCGCGCCCCACTGGGGTCTGCGTATAACACGCCCTACTGGGGAGGGGGGGGGGGGGCTATTCATAGCCCCCCCTCTTAACTCCGAAACTACTGGGCCGATCGTCAAAATTCAAACGGCGTCTGATAGCCCCGGAAAAACTGTCGAGCGAAACCTAATTTCATTGACCTCGAGGTCACCGATGACATCACAGGTCACGTCAAAGTAAAAATTATTAGCATTTTGCTTGTTCACGTTTTGGGCTCTGGCCGCCGTCTTACAAGTCAGATCAGGCTCATTTTTGGATCACACACTCGTGAACAGATCCTCTAGATACCCCGAGGGTACCAAACTTGTACTTTGATTTTCAGGTCAAGGTCAGGTCATAACAGGTCACGAAAATATTATATCATGCGTCGGTCACCTGACACATGTTTTATGGTCCATTTAGGCCAGAGATTTCGAATGTGATGTCGTCTGTGTCATTCGAGGTCATTTTGAGTGGAATTTAGCTTAGGTCAGGTCACTTTCAGGTCAAAAAAGGTCAAATTTTGAAGTTAAAATTTTTCAACAAAAAAAAGTGTCTATTGGATGCAGTTTGAGCTCAGGAACACGATGGTGCTATTTATATTGGCGTACGATGTCAAATACGTGCTGAAAAATTGATTTGAAAAATTAATAATTGTGAATTTTTTGCAATAATGCTAAAAACTTGGCCATTTTTGAAGATATTCAGCTAAAACTTGCTAGAGTTAGTCATAATAATGCGTTCTATCACATATATTCCCGTTTTTTCGAAAAGTCAAAAACTTTTTGAAAAAAATGTAAAAATATAAATTTTGGATTTTATTATATCAAATTTTCGAAATTTTCAAAATTTCGAAAATCCGAGATAGCAGTTTGATAGCGCAGTCTATTCTGAGTCCTCTCATGCAAAGAAATTGGATCTAGCTTAAAAACTGAGCTCTTGGGAGCGATTGCCGTGGTTCAATGTTTTGCGTCGAAATCGGCCGAACATGACGTCACTCTGACGTCATTTCCGGCCGACCTATGGTAGCTACGAAGTTAAAATTTTGACACAAGGTGTCAAATTGATGCAGCCGAAGGTACTGAAAGTTTGGCGGCGATACGTCAAGCGGTTTGGAAGTTATTGCAGAAAAACGGGAGGGGGGCTATAAATAGCCCCCCCCCCCAGTGGGGCGCGGGTTAACTACACTTTTTTGAACGAATTTATTAGAGATTGTGTAAAAAATACGACCATAACACGCGTTGTCATCTAACGCTCGCACTGACTGCGCCCCCTTTATTGTATCATTTCAGTGGTTCTCCATTCCGTTCGCGATGTCCAACGAGGCGTTCACGACACTGGACATATCGGAGAACGACTGGATCGGCTCCGTGGAGCCGCACTACGCCGGCGTCTGGTTCGATTACGCCATGCTACTCATCTGTGGTGGCATACCGTGGCAGGTAACTGACAGCTGACAGTGACAGTGACAGGTGACAGCTGACAGTGGCAGGTAACTGACAGGTGACAGTGACAGTGACAGCTGACAGCTGACAGTGGCAGGTAACTGACAGCTGACAGTGACAGTGACAGGTGACAGTGACAGGTAACTGGTAACAGTGACAGGTACCTACCGACAGCTGCTCATCTGCTTCGGAATACTCTGTCAGCTAACGCCCAGTCCTGAGTACGGCTGGTGACAGTGCTTTGTGACAGTGATTTGTGACAGTGGAGGTAACCCGTTTACATGAGATCAGACAAATTTAGGTACGTAGAAACTCAGCTAAACTCTGAGAACATGTAAATGCCTGCCTAGCTCTGATACTTTTATAGAAAACTAGACCTAAATAATAAATTGGCGCTGTAGGATGACGAGGAAAACTTCCGTTTGTATCCTTTTTTTCTCGAGTAAACAGGTTACCATTTGTGTAAATTTACGTAAGCTAAATAGCTGTCCCAGAGACTAATGTAAACGGAGTCTTATGTGGACAATATGATTATGTACGATAGCCACGGGCGCGGCGGGTGACAGTGACAGTGATCGAGGGATGAGCTGACAGTCCTGACAGCTGGCGTGATTCGCTGGCCGTCACCGGTGTCACCGGTGTTACGGCACTGTCAGAGGTGTTTGATGAATTGAAATGAAATGGACAGAGGCTCGTGACGACTTCGCTGCTCTCCCGATAATTAGGCTGATATACTAATTGGCAATGTCCGACAATCACACCACAAATTTGGCCGGCTTATTCACGGTCTACGGTTCTCAACATTTGGCTCGAGCCTCCTTGCGCTTCTCTGTTGCCGAATTGTTTTTTTTCTTTTTTACAAAAATTTAGTCAGATTGGATGGATGGGTGGCTTAGAGTCCGCGAGCCACGCTAAGCGGGACTTGTCGAATGACACCATGGACCCATTACCCGACCGTGCCCGCGCCCGGCTCACCGGTGATAATTTTAGTCTGATCCGCGACCGTATGACCTGGTGAATGTCCCGGCGATTGACTGATCCAGAGACCGTCTGACCTGGAGACTGTCTGACCCAGCGACTGTCTGACCCCGCGACTGTCTGACCCCGCCACTGTCTGACCGGGTGACTGTCTGACCGGGCGACTGTGGCCGACAGGTATACTTTCAGCGGGTGCTCTCCTCCAAGAGCCCGCGGCGCTCGCAGCTTCTCAGCTACGCGGCCGCCGGCGGCTGTATCTTCCTGGCCATCCCAGCAGTGCTGATCGGCGCCATCGCCAAGGGCACCAGTGAGTCCTATCAGGAAGCCAAGGCCCTACATAGCCAGGGAGCCGTGGGGCCCTCAGTGCGCTTCATCGAGTGTTGACGGATTTTAGAAGTCGCGCTGTCTTGCCCAGCTCTGAATTTCCAACGGGTGAAGTCTGTTGCATATAAGGCAATCGACCTTCGTAAATGAACCCATTGATGTACTATGAGGCGTGAGCCCAATGCCCACCAACTACTTTTTACTATGAGACAACCCATCAACCCATGAGCAGTTCGAAGATTACCATCCAAAGAGCATAGGCATACCTATATACCTAATATACAAGTATATGTGACTGGATGTTTTTACTTTTTATGGTAACTAAGAACATTAGAACAACTCAGAAAGGCACATTCTACTAAGTACAACGGCCTGATAGATAATCTGATTTGTCACTGCTTCTGACCGTTTTTCCCAGAGTGGGAGATGACCGAGTTCGGGAGGACCCCGACCGGTGACGACACGCGCTTCGTGCTACCGCTGGTCATGCAGTATCTCACGCCCGAGGTGAGTGAGATTGACACGATTCGGCTCACTGTCCCAAAGAACCTGCTAACCATTTCGTCAAACTTTCGATTAAAATAACTTATGAATAGGCAGCGTTCGTAGTACAGCGTCCTTGCGGCCGGCGGGCGATAGCTTCTGTCGCGTCCGCTAGATGGCAAGAGTGGTTTGCGCCTGATGATATGCTGTGCCGCATCGCACAAACTATCGTCCCTTCTCTACGCTAGATGGCAGGCGTGGTTTGCGCCTGATAGCATGCTGTGCCGCACTGCACAATCTGTCGTCCCTTTTCTACGCTAGATGGCAGGAGTGGTTAGCGCCTGATGGCATGCTGTGCCGCAGTGCACAAATTGTCCATTTCTTTTGCTAGATGGCACCACTGAATGGTGCCATGCATTTGCCCACGGAACTTGTCTGCCCGAGTGCCAGCTGCCTTGGGCTGGTGTTTTGGCCTGGTGTTTTGGCCTGTGACATTGCGTCATGGCACAGGGCATGTTCAAGACAGAGAAGCATCTCGGGTAGAGATAAATTGCAGCTGATCACCAGATCGCGGACGCCTCCCACTTGCTAATATACCACTCCCTCCCGTACCACGTCTTGAGCCGTGCTTTCCCCGTATTTGGCTGTTATGAGCCGCGCTCTCTGCACCGTTCCATGCTTCTATCCTCAGGATACGGAAATCCTTCTCCTCCACGCCGCAACCCCCTCCGGGCTGGACAGGCAACTTTATCTCATGCGGGCTGCTCCCTTGGAGCGGCACCGCTGCTCCCGAGGGAGCGCACCCCGTAGCCAGGTGCAGTGAGTACCTTGGGGCTGGTCGGCCTGTCCTTCGGGATGGGCTCAGCCCCGGCGACTCACTAGGATGCCTGCCCAGACCAATGTCTCCCCCTAATTCCTATCATCCTTCCGGCTCTGAAATGGTCTAATTGGACCGAAAGGGCCTAACCCAACAAAACAAACAAAACAAACGCGCTCTCTGCTCGCAGTGGATGTCGTTCATTGGACCGGGCATGGTGTACCTGTTCTTAGCTGTGTTTTCTGCTCGCAGTGGGTGACGTTTATCGGTCTGGGCGGCGTGTCAAGGGCCGGGTCTCTGTTCTGTTCTGACCTGTGTTTTCTGCTCGCAGTGGGTGGCGTTTATAGGTCTGGGCTGATCTCTGTTCTGTTCTGACCTGTGCTCTCTGCTCGCAGTGGGTGGCGTTTATCGGTCTTGGCGCCGTGTCTGCCGCCGTGATGTCGTCAGCCGACTCGTCTGTCCTCTCCTCGTCCACAATGTTCTCCAGAAATATCTACCAGCAAATATTCCGGCCCCGGGTAAGAACGCCTACCAGCATATTATAAGAGCAAAGGGCGCACAAACACTCGCTGAACGGTTATTCTTCCAGCGCTATAATGTCGTCTGTTGTGTAGTCTCAAATGTCACAAAAAAAAACAATTCTATTGAGCAAGCACAGAGACTAATGCCCATTCGGTAAACGGTGTCATTTTTTAATTTCAAACATTCAAGCATCTAATTATTTGTTTGATTGTCACTTATGAGTCTCTTGCTGATCATCGTCCATCCCTAGGATTCTTTGTTTGTTATGCACAGAAACGATCCATTGATATTTCCCCTGATTTATGAGGCATCGTTTGTTTTTGGCTACATTTAAAGTCCCCCGTCAGGTGCTCTTTGTCAACTATCAATGGTGATTTTACGTGTCAATAGGGCTTTGTCACTTCTCTCGTGTCACTCGGCCGAAACCATGTGCCGTGTACCGTGCTTGAGATGTTCTTTGTGATATGCCACGGTGGTGTGCAAATTTTCATGGTCCCTGCATCAGTCATGACGTGTTCGATTTTACCGCAGGCCTCTGAGCGCGAGATCATCATAGTGATGAAGATCGCGATCCTGGTGAACGCCACGGTGGCCTGCGTCATCGCCATCAACGTGCCCTCCATCTACGGCCTCTTGTGAGTGAGGGTGGGGTAGATGAGCTGAGTTGTGAGTGGAGCAGGGGTAGCTGAGTTTAGTTTTGAGTGGAGCGGTGGTAGTTAGGTTTAGTTGGGAGTCATGGGGCTGGGACAGCTGTACACAGAGGGGAACAGCTAGGAGAGTGTGCTTATAGCGTCACCGAAACGTCACTTAACGTCACTCAAACACTGTCGTCTTGGGCCTGTAGTGTTCACGGCGATTTCTGATCACTGATCCCCGCTCTGCGCGTTTTGACCACCGGCTGCCGCTCCGCGGTGTCTGTCTATCGGCAGTTTCTTATGCTCAGACCTGGGGTTCGTCACTGTTGTTGTGTTTTCTGCTCACTGAACACACTCTTTTTTCTGCTCACTGAACACACGCTCTGTTCTGTCGGCAGTTTCCTGTGTTCGGACCTGGTGTTCGTGATCCTGTTCCCGCAGCTGTTGTGTTTTCTGCTCACTGAACACGCTCTGTTCTGTCGGCAGTTTCCTGTGCTCGGACCTGGTGTTCGTCATCCTGTTCCCGCAGCTGCTCACGGTTGTACATGTCCCGCGGCTGGCCAACACGTACGGCTCGATGCTGGCGGCGCTGGTCGGCCTCGTACTGCGGCTAGCAGGTCAGTCAGGGTGGGTTAATAAACTTATCAGGTCAGTCTGGTCTCTGGGTGAGTTGACCCAAGTAACTAATCAGGTCAGTCGAGGGTCGTCTTAGCCAGCTGGTCGGTTCGGGGCCTTGTCATTTGTCAGCTCTGTAAGAAAAATGGGCTAACCATGCAACTTGCAACCTGTCAGTTCAATCGAAAATGCCAGCCAGCCAGAAAATGCGAAAATGCGACAGTTAATTCGAAAATAGAGGTTTATCCGACCAGTCGGGTCCCACTAGCCTATGATCTTACTGTAAATTTCACTGTTTTCCCGATTCCGTATTTTCATTGCTGGCCTATGTTTTCCTACACCCCCTTCCAAAGCGGCTCCAGTCCACACAGTGCACCGAGCAGACTGCTGATTACGCCCCAGCCTGTCGCGGTCGAATCCCCAACTACCGATTGTCCCTCTCCCCGACAGGCGGTGGGAGTCTGCCCGGCCTGCCTCGAGTGCCTGCCGGCCACCTAACTACTGTTTGTGCCTCTCCCGGCCTAACTATCGTTTGCCCCGCTCCCCGGCAGGCGGTGAGAGTCTGCTGGGCCTGCCGGCCACCGTGCACTACTGGTGGTACAGCGACACAGACGGACAACTGTTCCCGTTCCGTACGTTCGCCATGGTCTGCTCCCTCTGCACGCTGGTCGTCACCTCCTTCTGTGTCGAGAAACTCTTCAGCTCAGGTGCGGACGGCTTCATGTAGACCGTAGGGCGACCGGGTACAGCGGGGGCTCCTGATAATTTTCTGCTTAGCTCGTGCACAAATTGAGCCCTTTTTTTCAACGAGGAGGCTGTTGGGAGGCGGATGGCGCATACTTGTCCCATGTGGATCTCGACAATTCAGTAACGTAGCGACATATGAGAGATAAACAAAATGTTAAAATGTCTACGTTTAAACAGCATGGCATAGTGTTTATTTTTTTTAATTACTTGTCCTTTTTTATTTGTCCAAAGACATGCCTTGAATCTCTGGTCCGTGAAGTTCGGCTACACCTAATCAACGACCATATGGTATTTTGTCGTATATTCAACATTCAGAAGCTTAGCATGTATCTCTGTGAACAACAGCTGCAGTTGAAGTTTCACTCATTTGAAGACCATGCCCTCAGCACTAATTGGTCCCCGCTCTCCGGCTCCGCGCAGGTACTTTGCCGTCGCGTCTGGACTTTGCGCGGAGTTTCGACCGGGAGGACAGCGAGGCGACCGGCCTCAACTACCGACAGCAGCAGCACGACCTGCAGAAGAACGGCATCGACAACTACGGCATGACCGAGACCACCGGACTGTGACGTCACACAGGAACCAATGTGACGTCACACAGAGACCAGAGCGCCCTGTGACCTCACACTTCGCTGGGTGACGCGCTCGTTTGATCGAGGCGGTTGCCGTTTTACCAACGATTGCCAGTTTTAGCTCTCAGACGTGATTTAGCAGTTTTATGAAGCTTGGCAAGACCGGAGTAGGTGCTTAAATTCTGAGACACTTGACGGAGACTGTGCTAATGTACTGGAAAACATCCTAGATCCTGTGCAGTTCTGAGAGCTGTTTGTCCAGAGCCGGAGTACAACAGCCGATTCAGACTAGTTCCGGCCAGACGGGATGTCTGTGGGTGGGTCGGCGCTCCCGGAACTTACAGAGAACCTCGTCAAACTCCCCGACACAAAGGGTTTCCACAGAAACCGCGTTATCCAGCGACGCTCATTGAATGCTAGGTACATGAGAGTACGCAGCAGCGCTCTTGTAGTAAATGACCGTCATTTTCCAAACCGTCCTCAGTAGTCGGTCGCGTACGGCGGAATGCGGCGACGGGCGACAGGATCTTTCTGAAGCCGTTTGTTTAATTTCTGAGCTCTCTAACGGCCCGTGGAGCTGCAGGAACTTTGTCGAGTGGTACGATAAGCTCCATCGGCTACGGTCGTGCTGCGTTGTGTGCAGCACGACGTACAAATTTCCGGCGTTGTGTGCTCCCTCCCTCTGTAAAGCGCGGCAGTCAATCTGAACCGGGTCAGGTAGGCGTCGTCTAGATCAGTGGCATCAGCTGGCTGTAAGACTACTGGTCATGGCTAGCTAACAGAGGCTCCAGATAAACGGTGTTACACGGCTGACGCCACATGGTTTCAACGTAAATGCTCAGCGGAGTGCAATGGACATTTGACTCGTTCCGCTCCACAGTTGTGACAAAAGCAGACTGAACCACGTTCCAGGCAGTATTCCTATGAACTCACCAGTTGCAATTTACATTATGAAAACCCAAAGGAAATGAGATATGAAAATGAAGATTCATTTTGTAGGCCTCAGATTTGATGGGTATGCCGTAAAAGTAGTTCCGACTGCATTCAGCTGGGTGCTAAGACAAGTAAAAACCCTTTTACTGGCTATTTTAGGCAAGAGTGGTGGTGTGGGAGGTTGGTGGATTTCCATGAATCATTCCATATTGCAGATAATGCGTCAAAACGGGATAAGGGCGCAGAGCCAGAAGGTCTATATTTATATTTAACTGTTACAAGCATGTTGGAAGCGAGATCGAAGTGGATGTCTATGGCAGCTGTGGAAAGTTATGCCGTCCAAGTTATGTTGAATACATGTGCAAGGTCAACGTGTCATGCACTGTGTGTGTCTCTTCACTCTTGGCCCCTTGTCATATATAGGAAACCGTCAAAATGGTCTATTTTCGGATAGTTTGTAGGTATATTTTATGAACGACAAGCAACATATCGTTATATGGCACCGCTCTGTTACCAATAAGTACTCAGGACAGTAACAATAAGAACGCATGAAAACAAAGTATGCCTACCTAAAAAGTTGCCGACAATATGTTAACTACCCATCCAATGCATATCCCAGTGAGCATGTTCTTGTTCGCTCTGCCTAGTTCGCTCCGTCCATTGTATCACCTTTCCGGGTAAATACTCGTACCGTTGTTCCATTATGAAGGCAAAGTGTTGCCACATGATGCTGCCATATGCCGAGTGCCGCCCGCCCGGTTTGTTAATACAGTCGGAAGCCTGACGCTGGCGTGTGCGGGTCCGCGTGCGAGAGCCGAGCTACCGAGGGTAGCAGCGAACAGAATATGGCGCGGTCGGTGTGAAGTGTGGAACTGTGCGCTCACACCAGTGAATTTCGTGCGTTTCGATCGTTTGTGTGACGGCTCGTCGTAGCCATGAGTGATAATGGTGACGCGTCGGACGGTGACCGCGAGGATCGGAAGCCGGCAGAGTTCCAGACGCTTCTCGATCTCGTCTGCCGACAGATGGAGGCATCACAGCGCCGAGAAGACCGAGTCGTCGCCCTGCTGGAGCAGATGTCTACGGGATCACATCATCGGCTGGATGGCGGCAGCCCGGCGGCCGCTGCAGCCGGTCCCGGCGCTGGCCTGGGCGCCCCGCCGCGGCGGCTCTCTCTATCGTCTGGAGGTTTCGAAAGATGCTCTCCAGAGATGGCGCTAGTAAATTTGGCTGACATGACGTCATGCTTAAAAGTGATGAGTTTTGTGAGAGCAAATGTAATAATAGTTGAAAATTTTGTACTTTCGCTTAATTGAGAAAAAATTAATATACGATTGTTCAAAACAGCGTTTTTCTCATTCATCCTTCATTGTTTTAAGAGGAATATAGACAGTTAAATTCTTTTTTCTTGACCGCAATTCGCACACGCACTAAATTAAAAGCTGGAGTTTTGTGCGTTCGTAAATCGTGATTTGAGAAAATAAATTGACAATAATCTTTTGCACTTTTGCTTTACAATCAGTTTTCAATGCAGATAAATGCATAAATCATTCGAAAATAGGCATATCTTTGAAATATTATGATTTTCCACAAGCAAATTTTTCCAAAAACTTGAACTACTTACAACTGACGAACGCATCCAATAATCTGGATGTCTTAGGATGAGTTCGTCATTTTTTCCCAAGGAAATACGATACAGTTTAAGCTACTTTACCGATTTATTAGGGTACTTTTGCTAATGAATTGATAAATAAATGACAACAATTAATCTCATTATCAACCATACTCGGAAGAATTTTCTTCGCATAAGCGCGAACACATCCGCGTTTTCATGAAAAGTAGCGCCTGCAGATGTCAGGACTGCTGCTTTATGTTTCGCAAGGTGGCGCAGCGCGCAGGGTACCGACTACCGAGGCTGAGGTCTCCAGACTCTCCACCACGATTTAGCTTGGAAATGGCCAATGGGGAAGGTCTCACCCCAAAAAACGGACGCCCTTTTACACAGCTGCATAACGAGAATGAATTATTGGCATAGCTGACCATACGTCCCCTCCCCCTCTCCGCCCCAGCTCAATTGAAAATATCGCCTATTTTCCTTAGTCAGTTATATTCTGACTAATTTCTCACTCTTCCCAGTAAACCTTAAAATGCATGACGCAGATGTCCACTGCGTAAGTCGTGTGCTTGCGTAAGTGTGCCAACTATATAGTGTTGCCTACACTCTACAGTGCCTACTGCTTCCACCGTTGTTATAATTGGTGATTCTCAGGTCAAAAGTTACACAGTGGTCTCAGAGAACAATCGTTTCAACAAATTAACGATTCAAACCGTTGCATTCTACTTATATTCCGGTCAGTTCTGCTACTAAACGATTCCGGCAAAACACTCTTTAGGTTATGTATTAGCGAACCACCACACAAAATTCGCCCAATCAATGGTCAGTTATTACTGCTGGGCTGAACCGTCATACGCTATATAGCCTATTGCAGTCAATATTTTCAGAACGATACCGACTGACGAAATACAACGTATTCGCGGATTCGCACATACGTTGGCACCCAGGTGGCCTGTCAGCAGCCGCACAAATTGAGATGGTACACCGTAAAGCATGCCTTTCCACACAGGCACAAGCACAGGGACACAAATTCTCAAAATCCAAACTTATTCTAACACTGGTCAAATACTAATAGGCATAAAGTTTTGAGGTTTTCTCATGTTCATTCTTCTTTCAACACACGCGGCAGACTGCAGCAGAACATCTCACAGAGCTGCGCTGGATGCAGTCATGAGCTGGGACACGGTTTGTGACCAATGACCGATCGGGGGTGCCAGCCTCCTCCCGGCACGCGATGCACTGGCCGCCGCGCAGTCGATGTCGGGGCACCGCCGGCATTCGCCGACAGGGTTCCATCCGATTCGGTATATTGGTGGCAGCCCGAACAGTGACCCACGCGAAGCTGGTGGACGTCGATGGCCGATGAGCGATGCCCTTCCGCGACCGGCGGTGGCAGTCGGTCCCACATCAAGAACAGATACCAGTCATGCGGTCAGTCGGCGACGGCGCGGTCGCGAGCCGATCTGATGGTCGCGCGGTGGGCGTTGCCGACGTCCACCGGGACCGTCGACTGGGAGAGCGCGGCCGCCTCTTGGCCGCCGCCTCTGGTCGGCGCGCTCGTTGCGCTGTGGGACGGCATCCACATCTGCAAGTCGTTCACTGTGAAGCGGTCGTTTGACCGGACCTGGCAGGCGGGGAAAGGGGGCCTCAGCTGAAGTAAAACCATCCCTCAGGCCAGGTTGAGCTGGCTCTCCACCTCACCATGTTAGATAAGCGGACACCCTCGTGATCATCGCAGCGATGATTGCCAATTGGTGTGTCATTATGGGAGAGGATGCCAGCCTCCTTTGCAAGATAGTCTGCCTTTAATATAGTGCAGCCCGACCCATTGCCTGTGGCAGCAGACTGGGCTTGATAATGCAGTGCAGGACACACCAAAGTAAGCGGCCATCAAGGGCGGATCTAGGGGAACGTTTTGGGGGGGGTCACCAGTCGGCCGACATGCCAGGTCTGATGAATGAATTCTGACGACCGGGGGGGGGGGGGTAGGGAGCGAGTATGTCGAGATCAAATGACATTTGATCTTCGTCGTTTCTAAGATGAAGTTTTATCGTAAGTCACTTGGCTCAGTAGTTGTTAGTGAAACCCGTCGCCACGGATTTTTTACTGGGGGGGGGGACGGTGGGGGTGGATCGACCGACTTAAAAACCCAGAAGTAGATATAGTTACCTCACTTTTAGCCCAATGCATTACTAGCATACAGTCACGATCTCTCTTATTGACTTGTGTATGAATCGGCGGCGCGAAGCGCCGCAAAAATTTGCAAAAAAAGTTGTCAAAACACAGCTCTAAAACACAAATATTGCAACCCTTTTAGCATGCTAGTACAAGCCGGAGTTCCTTCACAGTACACATATGAATTCCGATTTAATTTGACACTGTTGGTGTTATTACAGTCACGATCTCTCTTATTGATTGGTGTACAAATCGGCGGCGCGAAGCGCCGAGAAAATTTGCAAAAGACTGTGTCAAAACACAGTTCCAAAACACAAATTTTACCACCCTTTTAGCATGGCAGTACAAGCCGGAATTCCTTCACAGTACATATATGAATTCTGATTCAATTTGACACGGTTGGTTTATGTAATTACAGTCACGATTTCGTATTGACCTGTACGTATGTACATGAATCGGCGGCGCGAAGCGCCGCGAAAAATTTGCAAAAACATTTGTCAAAACACAGAGGGGGCCTCCTCTCTACAGAGGACCACCGATCTCTACTGCGGGCCTCCTCTTTTCATCTCCTCTTTTCACAGGGCCTCTTAACTACAGAAGGCCTCCTCTCTACAGAGGGCTTCCTCTCTACTGAGGGTCTCTCCCTTTCAGAGGGCCTCCTTTACAGAGGGCCTCCTCTCTTCAAAGAGCCAGAGGACCTCATCTCTGCAAAGGGCCTCCTCTCTTCAGAGGGCCTCTTCTCTACAGAGAGCCTCCTTTCTTCAGAGAGCCTCCTCTCTACAGCGGGTCTCCTCTCTTCAGAGGGCCTTCTGCATTCAGGTGGTCTCCTTTCCACAGAGGGCCTCCTCTCTACACAGGGCCTCCTCTCTACATAGAGCCTTCTCTCTACAGATGGTCTCCTCTCTACAGAGGGCCTCCTCTCTAAAGGGGTCTCCTCTCTACTGAGGGCCTCCTTTCTACAGAGGGCCTCCTCTACAGAGGGCCTCCTACCTACTGAGGAGTCAGAGGGGCCCTAGCGGTCAGACACAGACACTATAGCGGTTATTCACTGGAGGCCCCAGGAAGTAAGAAGGGCCCTAGCTGTCAGGCTGGTCAGAGGGCCCTGAATGTCCTGACGTGATTTTTGGGATTCCCGTGAATTTCTTTCGCCTCCGACGTGATTTTGACCTGCCAGGGCCCAGGAGCACTAAAAATAAAACAAACAAAATAAGAATAATGGAAATAGGACATCACCAAAATTAAGTGGCCGAAATCCGTTGAGTTTTTAATTTTGCGTATAGGTAGGGGCACCACGAATTAAATTCATGACCATCCCCTTGGAGTTTTCCTGGATCATCCCCTGGTGCTCGCACGTTTGAGACAAAAACGAGTAAGATTCTGGCCTTCAATACGCCTTTTCACGCAACACGATCCAGAAAAACAAAGGTATTAGCTCAGAAGTGTTTGATAGGTGATTTTGAGTATGCAAGACGGCGTCTATAGCGCATTTAGGTCTTCGGCTTTTGGGGGGGGTCAAATGACCCTCTCAGACCTTTTGGGGGGGGTCATGACCCCGTGGACCCCCCCCAGGATCCGCCACTGGCGGCCATCTGTACCCCCTGTGCAGTAGGGCTGACTCAAGAGCCCAGAGTTGCCCTCCCCCCACCATTCTGTGCACGTGATAACTGGATGGGACATGCCATGATCAGCATCTGTTCAAAAGCTGCCCTAAGCATGTAAAGCTCCACTGGCATGCTCAAGCATGGTCACAGTCAGTTCTCACTTCTCAGTTGAACCTCCAATGGAAACCCATCACAAAGTAGAGATCAGGGCGCCTCTCACACTGCAGCACACTCAACGACTGAGGCACCATCTCATCACTTGCAGGTGGTTCTTGCCAGGAGCAATGCCAGCCACGCACATCAGGTGATAACAGCAGTGTACAACTGCAATCTACAAGCATCCATGTTCTTTCTGGTTTTCTCCTGTTGAGATCCACTGCCATGCATGAACTT